CTCAGGAAATGTAGTTGATAAAGATTGTGCTTCCAGGATTAATTACCACACACTGACCAGACGTTTGCTATAAGTGGTTGATGCTGTATCAATAAAACTCTACTCTGAAGTTACGTTGCAATATGTGAACAGAAAGATCACGTGGTTTATGCATTTCAGCAAGAAAAGGATTCATTTTGTGCTTGATTATATGTTGATTTCACTCTGTAGTGATGCCCCTGAAGAGATGCAGTGAAATAAGCCAGGCAATAAATTGTGCAGTGTATTGTGTGTGTCCGTATTATTTAAATACTACCTGTGTTGACAGGTGAGTTTACTAATCATTATACTGAAATCCTTGTGTGGGTTTCAGGAATCCATTCTGGAGGGGGTGGGGGGGGGGAAAAGGGTTGCGGGGGGGGGGGGGAGGGGAACAGACTTATGGCCATCAACAGGCATGTCGTAAAAGGTGACTGATTAGGGGAGTTTAAAGTCGGGGTGCATCTGGTTGTGAGGCAAGGAACTAACAATCTGCATACAAATAAGCTAGACCTGTAAAATGGATGTACATGCAAAACTCAAGTTCTGGAACACGACCAAAGTCCAGAAGTGAATGAACAACCAGATTTTTTCGCGGTATTGCACGGCCAGTGAACGCTAAGAAGAGAAAGATTATACAAAACAGCTCCCATAATAATAAAATGAATATAACAATATCAAAAACATCAAAACTGACAAACATTTAGGCACACACTGTATCAATGTGTAAGTGAATAGATGTTAAAAATGAACCTACCATCAACTCTGAAGTGACGTTATTAACGCATGTCGGCAAGGACTGTGTCCCATGGTTACAAAGGGAGATGTTAAAGCCATGGTAGTACTGAGTACCACTGCCTAAACAAGCGTAAACAAGCGCAAAAACTGGAAAAGAAAATACATTTTCTCCGTTTATTAATTAATTGCTGTAAAGTAATAACAGAAAACTTATGCAGGAGGCCAGCCTTTTTGAAAGCTATCGCGCAGTCCATATCCTCTTGTGTGCACCATACAAGCTTTGTCTTTATTGTGGTTGGAACAGGCCAGATTTGTGTCTCTGTTGTCAGCATACAGTGACAGTGTTGGAAGCACATGTTCTCAGCATTTTCATGTGCCAGGTTGCAGGGACACACCTCTGTGTTTCCTACACCGAAAAGTTTGAACATATTTGACGAAGTTAGTTGTGCCCTGTCCTTAATCTGAATATAATACACTGTGCATCTCTAGAGAGGCGACAAAGTGAATCTTGATGAGAGACTGGTGTGTGTATCAAGCCACCTTTCTTAGATACTGAATAGTTTTAATGTCTTAGTCTCTTGGTCACTATTTGGTAGTACTATGTCACTGCCGCTTCTAGCCAACCTGTCCGCTATTTCATAGCCTTCCAAGCCACAGTGACCTGGAATCTACCGCATTACAGACTGTTCTGCTAAAGAACCTAGGTGAATCAGCTGTTGTGTCTAGTCTACAAACTGAGTGTCTTTTGAGTTAACAATTGCTTGTAGAACTGACATAGCATCAGTCAGAAAGACCACACTGCTATATTTGCATGAGCTGTTGTCCATTCAGGAAAGAACATGTCACCAGAACTGTAATTGAAGTATGAACCTGTTGGTATAGCTTGGTTGATTTTTTAACCATCTCTTTGCTGAACCATCTGTATACACTCTGATCCAACTCTGGTGTGGATAAAGTCTGTTGATCTCTCCTTCTGTAACTGACTTTACATCAGTGCTGTTCATCTGCTCATGGATGATTTGGGGGAGATCCCTGTTACAGTCGTTCTGACTGTTGGCAGGTTATCCGTTAGCCGAGCGGGGGTGGGGTTTCAGTGGAACATTTGGAACTATGGGAGGAAGTTGGAGGTCAGTGAGCTTGACATTTGCGTTCTTAATGAAACATGTTTAGTCTAACCATCTGGGGTTTCTGCAGTCGGCTGTGCACAGGCTGTTCTTTCAAAATGGTGGTATTTGGAGAGCTGGGTGAGGTGCTTTGTGTCTCTCCTGTCTTGCAGAGCATGGAGACTAGAAATTGTTTCTATGTCTTATGTGGGGGCATGGACTGCATGGCCCTGTCCATAATAAGGANTTAAAAACCCCCTTAAAACCCAAAGTATTCTACAGGAAGAAGAAAAATAATCTCATTAAATTGTTTCATTATAAGCAGAAGCATATAAGCAAACATTTAACAACAACAACAACAACAATGATGTATGGACAGAGCCCAATGTCTCATTTGTGTTAATGGACAGATGGTCTAATCATTTGTAATCAGTGGTTCTCAAAGTGACGGGAAATGCCCCATTCTGACTGTGGACAGATTTAACCTTTGCTATTACCATCAGTAGGCCGTGGATTCGCTCCCTGACAGAGCTGGACTTTTTTTTTTTTAATGACCTTGGCTCCCAGGTCGATCCAGCCTTGAGTGGGTACCGGGTGCAGTTCTAGGAAAGTAAAAGGTAGGCAGAATGATGTCTGACCACACCACCCATCTTGTGCCGATTGGTCTATACAAAAATAGGTCCTAAGCCCTATATGCGTCTAAATGATGTGGACAAGGGTTCCTTTACTTTTACTTCACTTTATTACTATCAGCACACAATGTGTAATCAGACACTGTCAAAGTATATCAATCCACACATATGGAGGTGAAGAATAGCAATTTTTGAAGCTCAGTGATGCTTCTTCAGTCCTATGATGCCAAACTGTCCAACATCTTTTCTCTTGGTCTCTTTCTGCCTTTCTTCTCCTCCAGCTCTTCTATTGTCAGGGCAGTGTATTGTTATAAGTTTTGTGTTTGGTGAAAACATACTAATGAAATCTAGCTAAATATTTTACTATATAAAACAACATAAGCTGCCTCACTGAAAGTAGGGCACCTATGTTTTCTTTTATGTAAATCTTCTGTGAAATTTCTTGAGTAGAAAAAAAAAAGGTCAGGTGCTTTATTAATATCCTACCCTAAACAGGGTAAATCCACAGGTCACGGGGACCAGTCTAATATTTCGAGGGGAAGGAGGGGCGGGTAGATAGGCTGCATGCAGTCGTAGGACCTAGGTGGCACTCTCTCATGTGACTTAGGTGGGTTGGGGTTTAGGGCCAGTTCTAGATAGTTTGGGTCGTTAAAAGCATCAGAAAGCAAAGGGAAACCCAGTCCCACCATCCTCTAAAATGCTGGACTGTCCTGTGACGTCATCTGGGGTGGGATATTACAAAAAAAGGCTAAGTTCAATACCAACAGGTATACGTTTTTTATGCATATTTTATATAGGACTTGAAGACAGGCAACAGAAAAACACTGACTTCAATTATACTAGTTGGCAACACCTATGTAGTTCAAACAAATATGTTGTCACTGTGTTTTAACATAGAGCGTATAAATATTAATTACCCAATTCATAATCTAGGAACATAAACATTAATTTAGATGGTGAAAAAATCAACATGAATTAAACATGAAACAGGAAAGAAGTGTACACACATTATGCAAAGATGTTCAAGAAAAGTCACCAGGAATTCATAAAGTGATTATGTCACAGATAAACAACATGTAAAAGAATAAACACAGATGGCTATGAAGTCATAATCACAACAACAATACATAAAAACAATATTTACATTCAGTAAACATCTTCATCATAACCTTGTGTAAATCCATATTATCCACTTTATCTTTACGCTGTTAAGTTTCTCCTAGTAAGTAGCACTGTGTTTATTATTCTTAAATTGATACTAACTACTGAACTATTACTATCAACAAGCAAACCACTATACTACCTGTATGGGCAGCTGAGTTTACTAATAACAATACTATCTGTTCGAAACAATGTTTTCCCGTTGTAAATTTGAATAATGCGGACACAAACAATACATTTCAGCTCACATTTCCAGGAGACGATGTCATACAACGTCTGCAAAACCAACTAAAAACAACTATCGGTCAAATGTTTTTGCCGCTGTCCCAGTGGGGATAAACAAGACCACTCCCATTCCTACTCCTCTGTTAAAGAACCAACAGCTAGGTACACCAAATGCTACTGCATTAATAAATTTACATGTAAGTGTCAGCTGACTAACATCGGGAGAATGGAGAGACAACTTGAAAACAGACCACATCCCTTATTGGCTCCACACACAACTGAGGGGAGAGCCTGCATCAAGATCAGCCAAGCAGAGAAAACCTAATTCTTCAATAGGACGTCATTTGCTTGACTCTGGAAATGTAGTTGATAAAGATTGTGCTTCCAGGATTATTTACCACACACTGACCAGTTTGCTAAAAGTGGTTGAGGCTGTATCAATAAAACTCTACTCTCTTACGTTATATAAACAGAAAGATCACGTGGTTTATGCATTTCAGCAAGAAAAGGATTCAGTTTGTGCTTGATTATATGTTGATTTCACTCTGTAGTGATGCCCCTGAAGAGATGCAGTGAAATAAGCCAGGCAATAAATTGTGCAGTGTATTGTGTGTGTCCGTATTATTTAAATACTACCTGTGTTGACAGGTGAGTTTACTAATCATTATACATACTAAAATCCTTGTGTCGTTGCAGGAATCCATTCTGGAAGGGGGGTAGGGGGAGAGAAAAGGGTTGGGGGGAGGGGGGAGGGAGATTGACTTATGGCCATCAAGAGGCATGTTGTAAAAGGTGATTGATTAGGGGAGTTTCTTTAAAGTCGGGGTGCATCTGGTTGTGAGGCAAGGAACTAACAATCTGCATACAAATAAGCTAGATCTGTCAATTAGATGTACACACAAAATTCAAGTTCTAGAACAAGACCAATGTTCAGGAGTGAATAAACAACCAGAATTTTCCGCTGAAATGCACGGCTAGTGAACGCTAAGAAGAGAAAGATTATACAAAACAGCTCCCATAATAATAAAAGAAATACGACAATATCAAAAACATCAAAACTGACTAATATTTAGGCCCACACTGTATCAATGTGTAAGTGAATAGATGTTAAAAATGAACCTACCATCAACTCTGAAGTGACGTTATTAACGCATGTCGGCAAGGACTGTGTCCCATGGTTACAAAGGGAGATGTTAAAGCCATGGTAGTACTGAGTACCACTGCCTGTAAACAAGCGCACTCCAGCAACAAAGCGCACACTGGAAAGAAAAACATTTTCTCCGTTAATTAATTAATTGTTTTTTTTTTTCTTTAAATAATATCTTTTTCTTCTTCTCCTTCAATCCTTCTGTCAAAAAACTTATGTCAGGAGGACAGTAGCCTTTTCTGACAGCTATCGCGCAGTCCATATCGTTCTGACTGTTGGCAGGTTATCCGTAAGCCGGGTTGGAGGCCACATGCTCAGGAGAGGAAAGGGGGGGGGGGTGGGGGGGGGGGTTGCAGGGTTGTAAGGTTTCAGTGGAACATTTGGAATTATTGGAGGGAGTTGGAGGTCAGTGAGCTTGACATTTGCCTACTTAATGAAACATGTTCTTTTTAGTCTAGCCATCTGGGGTTTCTGCAGTCGGCTGTGCACAGGCTGTTCTTTCAAAATGGTGCTATTTGGGGAGGTGGGTGAGGTGCTTTGTGTCTCTCCTGTCTTCCAGAGCATGGAGACTAGTAACTGTTTCTATGTCTTATGTGGGCATGGACTGCATGTCCCCTGTCATAATAAGGAGAGCATGGTTTTGGATCTTTGAGATTTTTGCTGACCACATCACCCACCAAGTGAGATTGGTCTATAAAATATAGACCTAGCCTTATATACCCAATATGCCTCAAAGGCGTGGAAAAGGGTCCTTTACTTATTACTTTACTGAGTAAGAGAGAATGCCAAGTTTCACAGCTGTATGATGTATGTTACTTCTTGAATATCTTCAGTGATTTTATCCTCTAGCATTTTTAACAGCATATAATTAGACAGTCGGCTCTGTGGCTAAATCGATGCGAGTGCTTCGTAATGTCGGGATGCCGGGTTCGATCCCATCTGCGGGCCATGAGCCTTGCGTTGGTTTCAACAGTGGTATCAAGAAAGCCGACTGCCCAGAAAGCAATGGCAAACTACTGGACGTAAATTTGCCTAGAAAAACCACACAACAGCCGGGGGCTGTTGGGGTTGGTTCTGCAACATCCTGTAAAGGGTACGCAACTAACCTTTCATATAATTAGACAGTTGACAGCAAGCAGAGAGCTTTTACGCTTGCTAATATCTGTCCCCAGTAATCATAAATGGGTTCATGAAAACTTATACAGAAGCTCAGAGAGGTGTTTTATAGAGGGATGACAATGATGACCACACTAAGGACTAAAAAATTGCAATGAAGGCATCTAGGCACAAATGAACTCATAGTAAGAACTAATTATAATTATCCATATCAGAAGAAAACATTCTACATTCTTTTGGCAAGCTACAATAAAAGAAGAGAACTGGCATACAGTGTGACAACAGAAAAGCAGGAAGGGGAAGAGGCAGAGTGAGACCAACAGAGAAGATGCTGGACAGTTTGATATCATGGCACTGAAGAATCACCATTAAGCTGCAAAGATTTCTTCTTCTTTTGTCAAAATCTGCTTGTGCCGCTAGGCAACCGACCCAGGGCGCGCTCAGTCGCTTCATATGCAGTGATGTTATGAAGTCTCAAGTTGTCCGTGACTCCTTCAATCCACCTTCTTCTTGGTCTTCCCTGCCTCTTGGTGTTTCGATTTTCATGTTGTATGCTCTTGATGCTGGCATTGTTGGTTCCATTCTCATTAAGTGAAAACCAAACATTTCATTTCTTTGCTTCTCAATAAATTTAACGATGGGTATGGTTTCAATAGTTTCTTGTAATCACATCGTTTCTCACTCGATCTCTTCTGGTTTTAAATTCCGCAGCCATTCTCAAACATCTCATTTCACAGGGGATAGTCTTCTCTCGTGTTCTTTTTGTTAATGTCCAAGTCTGACATTGATAACCTAATGTCCGGTATAAAGATGTATTTATAATTGTCTTTTTATCTCAGCTGGGACAGCAGGGTGTTTTTAAAATTAGGGCAAACTGGTATGCGACATTGTTGGCTTATGGATTCTTACTTCGATCTCTCTGTCTATTTTACCATTGAATGTAAAGATACTTCCCAAGTATTTAAATTCTTGCACTTGTTTTAGGCTGTGATCTAGAATCTTTATGTCGATGGTCTGTTGCTCTCTACTTATGCTCATGACTTCTGTCTTTTCAGTATTGATCTTCATATGATGCTTGAGGCAACTGTCGTGTAGTAGGTTTATGTGGTTTGCAAAGATTGCTAATCTAAATTATACACACTTTGGGATAGAAACTGTCAAACTAACAACTGCTTGCATCTGAAAGAGATGATAAATGGCCTTTGAGTAAATGGCTACTTGACTACTTACGCATCCAGTGCTGTGAAATCATACTCTCTGCCCATACCATCAGTGAAGTGACAGTCGGACTTGCAGGATCTTCCTCCAACTGGGTGCAGTCCTGGGCCACAGGGTTTGCATGATTCTCTGCCCCAGGAGTTACTGCTGGGCAATACTGTTCCGGCTGGACAAGACTCACATGTCTGAGATTTGGTATCAATATACTGGCCATCAGGACATGGGATGCACCTGTACCAGAGACGAGGAGTTATTACAAGTTTCTATTTCTCAAAGTTATCAACCGCTTCTTTACATGTTTTCTAACCAGGTTATCTAACTGACAATTTGAAGATGGCAGGTTGTGGAGAGGCATGATCACCCATACCAGTTGGCTAAGCAGTTGATGATGATGATATCTAACAGATGTCTGTGTGTTACCTGGAGGCATAACAGGCAAACAACAGTAACAATGAAATCTGACATGCATGTTATAAGAAGCTATTTCTTTGTATAGTCCACACAATAAGACAGGTCACCGGACATTCCAGTGGACTCCTGAAAACACACTTCACACGACATTATCCCCAACAATGTTACAACTCTTCCAAACACTTGTATTAGCACGCAACAGTACTTTAATGTTAGATGACACCATCTTGTCGGCTTTGAGATTTTGTAGGTTATTCCTATGGATTTCCATGGAAAGTCCCTTTATATAGGGGGATTAAGGATAGTGTTAAATAAATAGCGACTACCACTACTAACTCTTGAGCCCTGTTGCCCTATACTACATAACAATCTGGGGATTTCCCTACCAAAAATTGAAGGCGACAAGATGGGGTTGTGTAAAATTAAAGTACTGTAGACTACATTAAAGGTAAAATACAGAGGAAAAGAAAAACATTAATATCTAGCCAATCCAATGGTCTTGAGTTCAAATCCCAGGATGCCCCAGCCTAAAATGGGAAACAATGGATGTCCTACGGAGAAAAGGCAAACAGCACGATACAGACCATATCAACCACCCAAAGAATGCCAATTGTTCTATAAAAATAAGAGTATATCGTATGCCTGATGCGCCACTAGCATACAAAGGTGCCAATTGTTCTATAAAAATAAGAGTATATCGTAAGCCTGATGCGCCACTAGCATACAAAGGTGCCAATTGTTCTATAAAAATAAAAGTATATCGTATGCCTGATGTGCCACTAGTATATAAAGGGTCCTTTAACTCATTTTATTTTAAAATACACTTTACTGTGGGCTGCAGTGAAGTATTACTGTAGTGTTTACTTCCTTTTGTTGTTGTTGTTGAAAAAGACCTTGATCAAAAGATATCCTTAGCAGTAAAAATGCATCCGCCAGAGAGGCGAGGAACCAACAGTCTCCACACAAATAATCCCGATCTATGAAACAGATATACCACAAAATGTAAGCTCCTGAGCAAGATTAAATGCTAAAGGCAGCTGTCAGATGTGTCAACACTTACACTCCCACACCAGAAATGAAGCTCACTGCTACTGCAAGTAGTTAATTACAAAAGCTGGCATTGCACTGCAATACTGCATAAGTAAGTAGGTCAAGAAAGCCTGCTTGTAAGTGAGTCAAGCAAACATGGTATTAATCATAGCATGTGTTTACCGGGGAGCAGAGTGGCTAGAAGCTAGCCTGCAGATCCAAAGGTTGTGGGTTCAGGTCCTGACAAAGCCTGACATTTCTCAAAAAATGACCTCGGCTGCCAGATCGACCCAGTCTTAAATAGTTAGTTAGTCTTTCCTCTTGTGTCGAGTGAGGCAGAGGGCAGAGGTCATGACTCTCCATGCATGGCGGTTCGTTGCAATCTGTTGTAGGTCTTGGATGTTTGAGTGGCCCATGAGCGAGCCTTCCCTGATGATAGTTCTACGTAGGGTTTCCATTGGTCTTCCACGAGATCTTTTCTCCTGTGGTGTCCAAATGAGGGCTTGGTAAGGAAGTCTTGATTTATCCATTCTAAGGGCGTGGCCGACATACAGTCTTAAATGGTACTAGGAAAAGTCCTGGGAAGTAAGTGTGGCCAGTGTCACATCACCCACCGAGTGCTGACTGGTCTATAAAATATAGGTCTAGCCCTACATGTCCAATAGGCTTGAAAGTGTAGAAAAGGGTCATTTCATTTTAAAAAACTGTTCACGAGTTTAGCAGGAATGATGAAATGCCTGAGAAAAGCCACCAACTTAACCATCTGAGACAAAGTTAGAAATGATATTATCAGACACACTGTAGGATTAACACCATGCAGTAAATTCACTGAGAAGCAGAAGATCAAATGGTTTGGTCACTGAGTAAGAATGCAGCCAGAACAACTACAAATGCAGGCACCATACAGGAAAAGATCTGCAGTGAAAGCAAGAGGCTGCCCTAGGAGAAGATGGAGTGATGACATTAAAGAGCTTCTACATCAACAAGGATTGACAGTAGCCATTGCTGCCCATCAAGCAAAGGATCGCAAACTGTTCCTCCCCACAACAATTAATGGCAGAAGTGGAAAGTGAAGATGATGATGACTTAAAAACCATCACTCACCCTTCTTCTGTCTTGCCTTCGGGACACGACTGGCACATGGTGGCACCTCCAGAAATGGTGTTGGTCACTTTGATGCTGTAAATCTTTGCAACATTTTTACTTGTCATTAACGGATCCGAGTCTTCAGGTAAACCGAAACCAAAATCATCAGGCTGGAAGGCCCAAGTCAATGTCAATGACTCATTTGTGAAGACATCATGACTGTTTATGGAAAGAAATAGGAGTATGAGATCACTCACTTTTATTAATAAACTAGCTGTACCCGGCCACGCGTTGCTGTGGCATAGTTTGGCTAAATGGAAATGAAAGAAAATAGAAATTGCACGTGTCTAATACAATCATTGTCTGCTCAGATATAGAGATAGTCTTTGATCCCCCCCCCCCCCCCCCCCCCCCCCCCCCCCCCCACCCACCACCACCACAACTAAATCCACCTACTACTCTCTCCCTCATCAAAGGTTTTTGGAAAAGAAAGACAATGGAAATCGCACGTGTCTAATATAGTTAATGTCGCAATCATTCTCTGCACAGATATAGAGATAGTCTGGTTTTCCAACTTTAGAACACGCACCTTATAATTATGTCTTTATATTAGTGGTCGTTTAAATGGTGTTATTAGCACAGTAACAAAAATGGTTATTTGGTTATCACATGCTAAAGCTGTTTGTATTTTTATAGGGGACGGAAGTAAAGCTACAACTGTACTTGTGAATAACAAAGTAAGTCGTAAAAAATAGAATAGCGGAGGTAGCGTTAGTAAAATATAAACATATTAGGTAATGAGAACTTGAAAATCATGTGTAAAGCTCTTTAAGTTCAATTAAATTTAAGTCATTACCCCCTCCCCTCCCCTCTCCCACCGACTACTGCTCTCTCCCTCTTCGAAGAATTTGAAAATCACTACCTGGCGATATTTTGTTGTTGCTGTAACTGACATTGACATCCCTGTCCATCTGGACTAAAATGGGGAGTAGGAATTGTAATAGGTAGTGAATGGGGCTAGTGTAATATTTACCACATCATCCTTCAAGTACCAGTACAACTACTACCACGACCACCACCACAGTAGCTAAAATAATGTCACTGCTATTTGTGTTACCATCGGAGTAGACAGAGAGTCGTGAGCCAGAAGATTTGGTTCTGCATGGCTAGTGCTGTCGCCACAGACTGGCCAGGTTAGGATGTATAATTTCACTTCCCGACAGAAGAACGCCATAACCTTACCGGCGGTCTTCACATGAGAGCACTATGGTGTAACAGCCCAACCACAACTATTACTGCTGCTGCTACTTTAAGTGGGTAAAGAAGTTACTGTGACTTAAAGCTCTCTCAGTTAATAGTTTGCACCCCCCCCCCCTCCCCCACCCCCTAAATTCACCGACAACTCTTTCCCTAATTTGGGAGAAAAAAAAAACACACCTGAAAAGCAAATGAACACAGGAAAAAAAAACACCATAATTAGGAAATGAACGCCACGGTAAACAGCACAGCTTAAAATTCCAACGCAGATGAAATAACTTAATCTAAATGAAAATAAATAAAAATCTATAAAATTTCAGCGTAACCATGCAATCGGAAAGTTTTAAAATGCAATCATAATTATGCGAAATGGTCAAATTTAATTATCAAATGGTTTACCCATTTACTTGTCTTTTTTTTTTTTTTTTTTTTTTTTTGAAAATATTAAGGCAACATGGCTAGTGCTGTCCCCACAACAGAGCAGATGAGGATATTATTAAAAAAAAAAAAAATAACTACTGCGGATTCGAACCCTGGTCTCCCGCACAGGAACCCAGTGTTCTAACCATTTGACCAAGCAGCCACTTAATCGGATCAACGAAAAGAGAACTTAACTATTTTAAGTGTCTGCAGTATCCCGATTATAACACAACTCAAAACAGCAGGCAATTGTTTTCTCATAGACAGATATTCCAAATATGTTAATGAAACGGCACAACAAAAGAAATCGCACGTGTCTAACACGGTTAATGTCGCAGTCAATCACAATGTCTGCGCAGACGTCGAGATAGTCCCTGATGCTCCCCCCCTCTTTTTCCCTACCAATCCATCGGCTACTTTTCAACTCATCGAAGGATGTTTGAAAAAAAAAAGAAAATAGAAATCGTGTCTAATATAGTTATTGTGGCATTCACTGCCTGCACAGATATAGATATAGTCTTGTTTGCTGTACCACGACCTACTCTATGTATTAGAGGAGGTGTTGGCTGTACGGCGCATGCACAATTACTAACGTGGCTATGATTAGAAATCACTAAAGTTATAAATATTAGTTTCGAATATTATGGCTTAATATGTGGTCACCTATCTCTAACAGTGACAGGTTGAATTTCAAACCACGATGGTTCAAAATCCGGTATCGAAACAAACATATCCTGAAAATTTCAGCTAAATCGGTTCAGTAGTTTCCGAGTCTATAGAGACCAAACAAACACACAAACATTGATTTTTATATATATAGAAGTGTGTTTATAACTTAAGTCGGCTCTGTGGCTAAGTCGATGCGAACGCTTCATAATGCCGGGGTGCCGGGTTTGATCCCAGCTGCGGGCCATGTGCCTTGCATTGGGTTTCGACAGTGTATCAGGGGCCGACCGTCCTGAAAGCAAGGGCAAACTACTGGACGTAAATTTGCCTAGAGAAATCACACAACAGCCAGGGGCTGCTGGGGTTGGTTCTACAACGTCCTGTAAAGGATACACAACTAACCTTTGTTTATAACTTTAATGAATACGAGACCATATTGTTCATATTACTGAATATGAGATTGTGTTTGTTGCACTAATAAACATGAGAGGGTGGCTATCATAATAATTAACATGAGTTTATATCCATTATATTAATGAACATGAGATTACCATATTAATATGCATGAGAGAGTGTTCACCCTTTTAATGAACATTCCTATACCCACATTTTTTCCTATGTTACTTTCATGTCACATAACTGCTTTTAATTATTTCTTTTTATCGCTGTGAAATACATTAGGTGACAGTTTTCCTTTTTGCTTTTAGATCAGCCAATCCGGACAAAAGATACCTTATGAATCAATTGTTTCGGCCATAAAGAATTAATATGGCAGCTATGCTGTAAACAGATACAATGCAATCATGTCACTCTAGCGAACAATGAAAAAGAAGATTAGCAAGTCTTTACCTTTCTTTTTTCTTATGAGTTTTGTGTTTTTTTTGCATGTGATTAGTTCCGGAATTGTTAGATTATTATTTCTGACCTTTCCTTCAAACAGTTTTGTCTTCTCCTTAGCATTCCCTGGCTAAAAAGTTCTGGTTTTTTTGTCCACTTCTGCACTTTTGTCTTGTTCCAGAACATGAATTCTGTGTGCTCATCCGATTTACAGATCTAACTTACTCGGATGCAGACTGTTGGTTCCTTGTCTCTCAGGCAGATGTGCTCTGACCTTGGAAGAAAAAATCCTTAATTAATCACCTTGTGGGGGTCGCCGTGGCGGAGCGACTAGACACTCGCCGGCAGATCGGAAGGTTGTGGATTCGTTCCCTGACCTTGGCTCCCAGGTTGACCCAGCCTTGAGTGGGTACCGTTTGCAGTCCCGGGAAGAAAAGGCGGTCAACGTGATGCTGACTACATCACCCATTTGTGCCGATTGGTCTATAAAATATAGGTCTAGCCCTATATGCCCTCAACGCCTAAAGGCGTGGAAAAGGGTTCTTTACTTTTTACTTTACTGAGTCACCTTGTATAACATGCTTTTTAGGTAAGCAGTGGATCTATTATTCTCCCCCCCCCCCAAAATGGGGTACTGGAACCCACCCAGGGAATAGAGTTTCTACTCCACTCTATGATGCTGTGATATACTATATGTAAATTATTACCACTCTGTACCATCTGCTTTTAGAATCCACCCACTCATAAAAGTGGATGGAAAAGGGCGGGGGAGGTGGAGGCGGGGAATAGACCCCCTGGCCCCTTAACAAGCACGTCCTTTAAAGACCCCTTCAAAGTCAGACTGCATCTGCTTGAGGTGAAAGAAACCAAAATTATGCATACAAATTAGCCAAATCTGTAACATAAATGTAAAACTAGAGTTCTGGAATGTTGAATGTTGAATTAAGAATCGACATATACATATTTTATATCCTCTACCCTAATGAAATCCTGAAAATAGTTATCATTTATAGTACTGAACAAATAAACTCTAACTGAATTTCTAAGCTTCCTATGATTATGGTCAGTCCAGAATATAAATTTCTCCTAAAAAAACTTCACCTCTCTCTCTGTCTGTTGTCACTGGCTTATTATTATAAGTGTATGTTGTGACAGGCCGATCTGGAACAAGACTTAAATTCAAGAAGTAGTAAAAAAAACCAGAACTTTTTATCAGAGTTTACAGCTGGAGAATGCTAAGAAGAAGAAGAAGGAGGAGAAGAAGAAGAAGGAGGAGGAGGAGAAGATGAATAAGCTTTAATATCTGCTTTGGGCTTACATTTATATTAAATTTATAATGAATAAAATATGTATCCTCAAGCACTTCTACTCCTGTCTTGAAACCAATATGACATTTACCTGTACATTTTTCTGGCTGTGGTCTGTTCCCAAGACTGAAGGACAGCATTTTTACCAGTCGCATCCTAGAAATCAAATAACAATTTCAGAGAAGAACATTACACAGTAAAATTTAAGTTTAAAAAAAAAAAAAAAAGAATTGTTAGGATCCTTTTCCACACCCTCAGGTATACTGGTTATGTAGGGATAGACCTATATTTTATAGACCAAACGGCACTTGATGGGTGAAGTGGTCAGCATCACGCCGCGCCCCCTTTACTTCCCAGGACTGTACCTGGTACCCACTCAAGGCTGGGTCGACTAGAGAGCCAAGGTCATTCTTGAAAAAGTCTGGCCCCTGTCAGGAACCGAACCCACGAACTTTTGATCCACAGGCGAGCGTTTTAAAAAGAATTGCTAATGTACATTTTATCTTCCCCGTCCCGTCCCCCCCCCCCCCCCTCCCCCCCCCTTTCCCCCCCCCCCTTACAACATAAGATTTGATATCAAATAATAACTTTTGCTCCAAAAGATATCTTAGGACATTCTCAGGGTCTCAGGGGACTGACTTTTTCAGATACAAAAATATCATGTGTTCAAGTACAAAAATCTACATTTATTCAAGTACACTAAATTTGTTCATGTATTCAGGTCATTATTCAAGTATAACCGTGTGCAATGACGCTGGTTCACATCTCCGGACTTTACTTTACTTTATTCAAGTACACTACATTTATTCTGTATAAAATTCACACTCATTTATTCACATTCAAAAATCCACATTTATCCAAGTTGAAAAAAAAAAAAAAATCTAAATGCATTCGAACACAGCCATGTCATCTTCTGGAACATCTTTGCAATTCAAAATGTCCATTGTGTGCTTCCACGGATGAACCTAATCTGTATGTACAGCTGACAGTCTTAAACTAGTGCTGATATTTGAGGTAGTGCATATATTACCAAACTGTGCTAGGTGTAATTTTACAGTTAAATCAAAAATTTTGGGGTAAGCTTTTATTTTAAGGAAAACAGGGTAGTAAGGAATAAGGAAGAGCTTGGGGCACTGAAGGTGTGGTTTCTAGAATGCATTATCCAAAAATCTTGGGGAGTCGCCGTGGGGTAGCGGCTAGACACTCAACGTGCAGATGGGAAAGTCGTGGGTTCGGTTCCTGGCACGGGCCAGACTTTTTCAAAAAAGACTCTGGCTCCCAGGTCGACCCAGCCTTGTGTGGGTACCAGGTGCAGTCATGGGAAGTAAAGGTGGCTGAAGTGATGCTAACCACATCACCCACCAAGTGCCATTTAGTCTATAAAAATATAGGTCTAGCCCTATATGCCTAAAGGCATGGAAAAGGGAATTTTTTTTTTTTTTTTTTTTTTTTTAATACTTTTACAGTTTGGATAGCCAGAGAATATGATAATGATACCAACGGAGAAAGAGCTCAATCAATCCACAGATCCTTTAAAGAGCATCACTCTCTCCACAGAATGACCGAAAGTCTCTCTTTCTCTCACCAGTTCTTCAGCCCCGTATGTTTTCTCAGCCAATGCATCTTCAATTTCCTGTAACCACCTTCAGCACTGAAGCCAGTCCCTGATCTGTTTTCCGGAAACTGCCCAATTTATCCTGATCACCATAGCGCTTGACATGGCCTAAAAACACTTGCTTTCTGAACAGGATGTTGTTTCACAGCCAGTCCTCCCTGATGTTTGGTTCATGCAGGATGTTGTTTCACAGCCAGTTCTCCCTGATGTTCGGTTCATGCAGGATGTTGTTTCACAGCCAGTCCTCCCTGATGTTCGGTTCATGCAGGATGTTGTTTCACAGCCAGTCCTCCCTGATGTTCGGTTCATGCAGGATGTTGTTTCACAGCCAGTCCTCCCTGATGTTCGGTTCATGCAGGATGTTGTTTCACAGCCAGTCCTTCCTGATGTTCGGTTCATGCAGGATGTTGTTTCACAGCCAGTCCTTCCTGATGTTCGGTTCATGCAGGATGTTGTTTCACAGCCAGTCCTCCCTGATGTTCGGTTCAAGCAGGATGTTATTTCACAGCCAGTCCTCCCTGATGTTCGGTTCATGCAGGATGTTGTTTCACAGCCAGTCCTCCCTGATGTTCGGTTCATGCAGGATGTTGTTTCACAGCCAGTCCTCCCTGATGTTCGGTTCATGCAGGATGTTGTTTCACAGCCAGTCCTTCCTGATGTTCGGTTCATGCAGGATGTTGTTTCACAGCCAGTCCTCCCTGATGTTCGGTTCAAGCAGGATGTTGTTTCACAGCCAGTCCTCCCTGATGTTCGGTTCATGCAGGATGTTGTTTCACAGCCAGTCCTCCCTGATGTTCGGTTCATGCAGGATGTTGTTTCACAGCCAGTCCTTCCTGATGTTCGGTTTATGCAGGATGTTGTTTCACAGCCAGTCCTTCCTGATGTTCGGTTCATGCAGGATGTTGTTTCACAGCCAGTCCTCCCTGATGTTCGGTTCAAGCAGGATGTTGTTTCACAGCCAGTCCTCCCTGATGTTCAGTTCATGCAGGATGTTGTTTCACAGCCAGTTCTCCCTGATGTTTGGTTCATGCAGGATGTTGTTTCACAGCCAGTTCTCCCTGATGTTTGGTTCATGCAGGATGTTGTTTCACAGCCAGTTCTCCCTGATGTTCGGTTCATGCAGGATGTTGTTTCACAGCCAGTCCTCCCTGATGTTCGGTTCATGCAGGATGTCAGAATTTCTCTTCTTCTTGGTCCAGGATATTCTAAGAATTTTTCTGTAGCATTTTAGTTCACAAGCTTTGATTTTGTTCTTCAAATATTAAGTAAGAGTCCAATTACTCACATCCTTAACTTGCCATGGGAAGATGTATGATCTCAACATGTGTAGTTTAGCTCACCTGCATGTGCTGCGCCACAGGTTCTTTATGCTTATGTAGCCTTGTTAAAGCAAGTCTTTTTAGGGTTCTGCATGGTCTCGATCACATGGTGTCCACCTCGAGTGCTAGAGGTTCTGGGTTCAAGCCACGGTGAAGGTTGGAATTTTTTCTCTTCACGTGGACTTTTTGTTATTTCCCCTGGTCTCTGGGTAGTGAAATTGGGCGCCCGTGTGCATTGTTTCGCACGTAAAAAATTCCCTGGCAGTTAGAAATCGAAAAGAGTAGCCTAACAGCGCTGCCTGGGCAAAATTTAGAGTTAAAAATCTACCCAAAATATTTCAGGATCCTTGCCGGTGCTACAGAGCCTGTGCACTGTGCTGAGCAACTTCGGACTCAGACTTGAGTTAAAAGTAGAACGGAGCACTAATGGGTAACTACCCATGTGCCATGATGTTGATCTGTTGTTCAAACCTCAAACCTCATACTGTATTTTTTAAGTACCTTTTTTGTATTATATAAATATATTTACAATATTATATAAGTTACAGGGAAAGAAATAACAGAATAATTATACATACTGATAAAAAAAGAAACTGGCAAGGTGTCTGGCAATTCAACTCCAGGTCAAAGGTCACTGTTCCAAGAGCAATAGGTTTCCCATCAACTGTTCCTTGTTCCCCACGAAAACCCGCAACCTTGAGAAGAAGGACCAGAAAGCTGTTGCGATCACTGGGCCCAAAGCTGGTTTTCACATGGTCCCCAGATGGTAGCCATCCAGAAGTTCTTGTACAAACTTCAACTAGATAACATTGGAACAAAAACATTTATAAACAATTGGCTAAATGATCTAGACTGCATGATGGATGTGGATAAAGAAATCAGACAAAGAAGATAGCCCTATTTCAGGTACATCCTGAGAAAAGGCAGGCAAAGAATCACCAAAAAGGCACTGAGATGGGAAACAGATGGATTGAGGCAATGAGGATGTCGACTCGTAGCCTTAAAATTAACATTGATTAGAGAGGGATTAGAAAGGCTATGTATTTCCTCGTGCTCTAAAAACTCCTTTTGCATGTATGTGTGTGTGTGCATGCATGCATGTGTGTGTGTGTGTGTGTGTGTGTGTGTGTGTGTGTGTGTGTGTGTGTGTGTGTGTTAATATCTCTTTCAGTTCTTCCATCTTTATCTGTATTAATGCCTAACGAGGCAAATGAATCCACATCTTGGAGTGGGATATCACCAAGAGAAATTAGGCTGGAGTTTGCAATTCAGAAGAATCAACATCAAAGCACTTGGGACACTCCCATAAGTGCTCGATCCCTATCTTCAGCAGCAAGCAAAGAGTTCAAATTCCAATGGTACCAGTAAATGTCTGATTATACCTTTCCCTTGAGTTCTGAGTATCAGCCAGATCCCCTGGTAACTCCTCGCAATGCCATTCTCCTCGGACTGTAATGATCTTTTTGTTCCTCCTTACTTTTCACTCACTCTTAAAGGGCCCTTACAACATCTAGCTTGTCATACATTAATTCACCACCAAGTGGGGCAGAACCAGCCAGTACTTCTGCACGCACATTTCCCAACATACAAGCATGACCTAGAGAAAATATCTAAAGATACTAACTACCCGGCACATTTGATGTAATGCTTGCCATTCTGCACAGAGCACGCCTGTCTACACCTTTCTCAACATACTCTGTGAGTCAGCCACAATTAGGACATGTGTGCATAGCGGTGACTGCCTCCACCTCCATTCTCAAACTGGACTTTGTGTTATCATACGCTAGGTTTTGTTGTACTAAGCAACATCACAATAACTATTTAAATCATTAACTCTTTACAGTCTTTCAGAACAAATTATACATTCATAGGTTCCTACCCAGAAGCCCAGTGAATGCAAGATGCGCTGATTACAGGTTTCTGTTTACCATCTCCTTGGGCCCTTGATGCTAAGCCCCAGGACTGACAGAATTAAGTGCCAAGAAACTCACGGTGCATTTACTGGCAGCTACTAATATGGGCAGCGGCGTCCGTGGCTAAGGCGTTGCAAGTCCGACTTGTAATCCAGCGTACCGCGATCGAAACCCACTGCTGGCTGCGTGGATTTTTATCATGGTATGGGGCGTCGCAGGTCGACCCAGTCTAGAATGGGTACCAGGATGGGCTGTCCTGAGAAAGTAAAGACAGCCGGCATAATGCTGACCACATTAACCTCCTGCTGATGGTCTGTAAAAATATGGGCGCTCTTCCCATATGCCCGATACGCCTAAAGGCGTGGAAAGGGATCTTTAATTTTTGTTTACTTTGCTAATATGGGCTCATAATCATGCAGCATATCCTTTGCAGAACATTACTCTCGTCACGGTCTGCCTGAAAAACACTCAAGTCTCTTGCCAGCTCTCCTGCCCCATACACTACCCAAGGTGTCGCTTATATCGTGTGCCCATCATTATGCTGGCTAGTCCCTGCCCCTCTTTTGTACTACCATGCCTTCTGCTATTACTTGTTCCATTCCGCCGTGGTGCTTGATATATTAGTTTCCAGGACAGGATACTGTTTACTAGCCAATCTTCCTTGAAGTTAAAATCTTTTAAGACAGGCTTGTGCATTTACTCTACTTACTGCAACTCCTTTTGTCTAGTAGAGCAGCTGTTTATACTACCTCAGACTCAGAGTCAATCCACTGCTGTCTGCACAATGAAGGCTGGCAGCAATGGATTTCCAACACACTCTGTCTTTTGTCCTAAATGTACACTCCCTGAGACTGCTGTCATCTATCTCTTGACGTTATCCTCAAAAAAGTATAAACTGTCTGCTTTTCGATCACTTGCTTTCAAGTTTTTCTCTCCAGTACAGACCCAACATGTATTAGTTTAAAGTAACAGGCAAATTGTTGTATAGAGCCAGAAAAAGTAACACTTGTCTGGGACTGAAAGAGTTAAAATCTTTACTTTGGATGGGGACTTCTGGTCCTATATGGTGGATAGGCAGCTGGCCGATGACGCTTCGAAAATTGATTGATTTTTAGTTATAGTTTGCAGAGGCAACTTCCCCATTTCCGGACTGAGAATCCAAAGGTCCTGTCAGCCAGCTAATGTTGAGTGTTTGGTGCGACACTGTAAGCTGGCAATTTTATTTGGAAGGTGTTTTTTTTTCTGTTCCGCTCATCGTGGTGTGCTTATGCAGTACTGCGTGTACAAATGCTGGCTTTTGTGACTGACTGCTTGCATCAACAGGAGGCTGCGATTCTGGTGGGAAACAGTTAGTGTTGGCTTATCTGACAGCTACCTTATGTTTTTGACTATTTTTTAAATAGGACAGTGAAGGACAGTTTGTGTTGATTTCCAGTGGTACAGAAGTAAAGCATTTATTGGGAGACACATGTGCAGGGTTGGCAAATGCTTGACTAATGACTAGTCAACTAAAGACTAATGACATGACTAGTCAACTAAAGACTAATAACATGACTAGTCAACTAAAGACTAATGACATGACTAGTCAACTAAAGACTAACAACTCCTTGGGATGGAAACAGTAAACAAAATATTCATATATCTCTAGCCACGCACAAGAAGTGAAACAGACAACAAGTGGTGATGCAGGGCATACCTCCCGCAGGCACACAGTGTGCTGAGACATTGGTAGGCAGCACGTTCCAGTACTTGTACTCAATGTTGTAGTTGGGGGATGTTGAGGCAGGACATTCCCGGCAAACACCATCAGAATCTACAAGTGTTACAAATACACAGTTGCTACAGAGAATGACTATACAATCTGTATGTTGTTTTGCATGTGAGTAATTGTTACATAGATAAATGTCACAAAAAGCCAGATATTCACTTTAAACTTTCTAATGTTGGATCCCTGGTCTCACGTTAGGAGAAAATAGGGCCGGGAAAAGGGGGGGGGAGGGGGTGGGCATGGTTCACTAACAAGCATTTTGTAAAAGGTGACTAATCAGGGGTTTGCTGAAACTGGATGTGTTGGGCCAAATCAGTGGTTTGCTGAAACTGGATGTGTTGGGCCTAATCAGGGGTTTGCTGAAACTGAATGTGTTGGGCCAAATCAGTGGTTTGCTGAAACTGGATGTGTTGGGCCTAATCAGGGGTTTGCTGAAACTGAATGTGTTGGGCCTAATCAGGGGTTTGCTGAAACTGAATGTGTTGGGCCTAATCAGGGGTTTGCTGAAACTGGATGTGTTGGACCTAATCAGGGGTTTGCTGAAATGGTATGTGTTGGACCTAATCAGGGGTTTGCTGAAATTGTATGTGTTGGACCTAATCAGGGGTTTGCTGAAATGGTATGTGTTGGGCCTAATCAGGGGTTTGCTGAAATGGTATGTGCTGGACCTAATCAGGGGTTTGCTGAAATGGTATGTGTTGGACCTAATCAGGGGTTTGCTGAAATGGTATGAGTTGGACCTAATCAGGGGTTTGCTGAAATGGTATGTGCTGGACCTAATCAGGGGTTTGGCTGAAATTGGATATGATGGGCCTAATCAGGGGTTGGCTGAAATTGGATGTGTTGGGCCGAAAGGTGCAGATATCACAGCCTAGCTGAAAGGAAAACTAAATTGTTATCCTTTTCTTCCTCCCAATGGAACATCATCAATCAGCAGGTCATTTACAGAACATCAGCCTCCTCACGACAAGCCTGAAAGTCTCTCTTTCTCTAGCCATGTCTCCAGCCCTGTGTGCTTTCACAGCCAATGAATTTTTAATGTACGGTACCCACGTTAAAAAAAAATATCTGTCTCTGCCTCGTTTTCTGGAAACTGTTACCTCTATTATTGTTTTCTCCTCGTCACCATCATGATGCTTAACATGGCCAAAATACCTCAGCTTTCAAGACAGAATGCTGTTTATGAGCCAATTCTCCTCAATGCTCAATGGAACAAACATAATCACATAAACTTGTGCAGAGTTGTCCTATCCCTTGCAATCGCATGCAGCTCATCCTACATTTTCCTCATTATATCTCCAGAGGAAAGGATATAAGCTTTATGATTCTTGTAGTAGAAGTCGCCCACCAGTTTTAGTTAATTGGTTATTTCTTGTTTATTCTTCAGACTTGTTTACAATGGTTGGTTTTTGCAGTTAGGATTAGAGGTAGCCAACCACACACTTAACCTTACTGGTAGTCACCTCTTATGACAGGCCAGGTGAGATGCAGTGTTACTCTACTTTCTGAAGGGCCCTGGTAACACACACACTCATGACTTTTGTAGCAGGAAAAAGTAAAGGTCCCTTTTCCATATCTTTAGGTGTACTGGAAATATAGGGGTTGACCAATATATTTATAGACCAATCGGCACTTGTTGGGTAATGTGGTCAGCATTATGCCGGCCACCTTTACTACTCAGAACTGCATCTGGTACCCACTCAAGGCAGGGAGTAAAGGTCATTTAAAAAAAAAAAAAAACTAAAAGTCTGTCTCTGTCGGGAAGCGAACCCACGACCTTCCAAACCGCAGGCAGGCGTCTAGTCGCCAAGGCAACTCCCTATGACATTTGTAGTATTAAAATCAATTAAAAAAATTAAAATCAATTAAAAAAATTAAAATACAATTAAAAAGTACATCATTTTAATAAATTTCTAACTACTGTTTCAGTATGGTTAACCACAGGAAAATGACCGACACAGTTGCTGCACTGAAATATGCTATTGTACATGCTGAGCTATCAGGGTTAGAACTGAATCGTAAGATAACAGAAATTATGGTCTTCTCCAAGAAAAGAGAAATACCACACTGTAAGATCCAACCACATGAGCTGAGCTGAGTCGAGTCAAGAATTGACATCACAGCACTCGGGGCATTCCTATGTGTGCTCCGTCCTCATTCTCAGCAGCCAGCGCAGAGTTCTAATACTAAAGGTACCAGTCATAATCTGGTTATATGTCCGTTTTGCCTTTCCCCTGAGTGTAGTAAGCCAGCCAGACTCCCTGGTGAATCATTCTCCCCAGGCCATTATAATCTTGTTTGGCCTCTGACTCTGTTGCTTGTTCCCAAAGGGTCCTGACCACTCTGCCTTGTCATGTATCATTTCACCACCCAGTGGTGCAGATCCAGCCAATCTGTCTGCATGTTCATTTCTCACACGCCAGTACAGCCTGGAGAAAAGATCAAGAGTATGCTCACTACCCGTGACTTTCCCAGTGAATCTTGCCACTCTGCTCGAAGCATCCCTGTTTCACCTTTCTCAGCATGCTTTCAGAGTCTGTTACATTTATGACATGTGTATGCAACATGTTCTCTAGACACCAGAAAGCTGCAGATACCGGCCCAATGTGATGATAACCCTATACAGATCAGACTTTTCCTCTGGTACCAAGACTCACTCCTTTGTCACCTAATGTTCTCCAGCATGCATACTTGTATTATTTTGTCTTCTGCTCGAGCCATCCATGACTGTTCCCTTTCAGCCTCTGACCTTTACCTGCAGCCAAGGCTTCATACAGAGGGTGTTCCATGTCTGCATCTACTCTAAGGTATGACTAAGCCTGCAGCCCCTTTAGCCTATCTGCAATAATCTGCAATGCAAGGATGTATCGCAAGCACACAATCGGGGTGTATTCTGTACATCTCAGGATCGCCCACATAGCTTCACTGTGTATGCGCTCCAGTTTCTCTAGCTGACTCTTCGAGACAGTGAGTAACCCCAATCCATAACCAATCATTGGGATGATTAAGTGCTAGTAAAGTGTGAACAGCATTCTCTGCTCCATGTCCATTGCTGCCATAATCTTTAGTGCGTTCAGACCTTTTTGAGCCCTTGTCACAAACTACCTGTATGTGAGCCTTTAAAGACAAACCTCTGTCAAAGGTGATTCCCAGCTACCGCAGTCTGCTCTCTCTTTTGATGTACCTGCCCTTTATTTTGAGGCCTGGAACATCAGCTCTAACAATCTTGTTGTCCAAAGAACACCACAGGATGGTTGCCTTTTCTGGGTTAATTACTGCACTCATCTCTGTACACCAGTCGATCACCTTATCTACTGTCGCCTGTAACTCTTGAGTTATTTGATTCCGATCTCTCCCTTTCCTATATACGAGAACATCATCTGCAAATGTCAATATTCTGCCACCTCCGGGCGTGTCCAAGTTACATGAGAAATTCTTTAAACGGCGAATATGTACACAACTATACTGGAACAGTCAAAATATAAGTTGGAAGATGCTTTAACCAGAATTCTTAATTAGATGCCTTAATCCCTGTATAGGTTCTGGTGCCCCATTTGGGTGGGGGGGAAAAGAACAGACCCCCCTGTCCAACCCAAACAAGCATGTAGTAGTAGAAAGTGACAATTATGGGGGGCCAACTGCTTCTAAATCAGGGTGCAAGTGAATGAGGGGTGAAATAAGCTAGATCTGTAGAATGGATGTGCACGCAAAATTCAAGTTCTGGAACAAGATCAAAGTCTAGAATAACAACCAAAACTTTCCGCTGGAGTTTACAGCCGGTGAATGCTAAGATGAAGAAGCTTGCCTTACAAATTTAAGCTAGCACCATTACAGAAAATATGCAAAATATACTAATAAGAACTGTCAATTACAATGAGAAAAGGTGTTTGAAGTGATTTAACTCTATTGAGTCCCAGGGGGTTTAGTATCCCAGGCCCAAGGGGTAGTAAAGAGAGTATAAAATCGGCGCATCATGCGTTCATTGGGCCTCTAAGTAGGAATCTATGAACGTATGACGCGTTCCTTCGGACTCAAAGAGTTAAACAACAAATACTGTTGTAAGTATGTTGCATGTAGGGAAAACAAGAAGACAAGCTGAAAAACATCTAATGGCAGTGGACATTTGGTTTCTGGGCAAAAATAAAATACTCTGGATCAACAGACACCAACAAATATTCAGCTTTTCAACAACTGGGTGAAATATGGAAATATATTATTACACAAAGGTGGTTAACATTGTGTAAGCATGTAAATAAACATAAAAACTAAAATACAACAGGAAAATTTGATAAGAAAAAAAGCAAGAAGACAGACAAATCTCAATAAATCCCTAAACAGTTTGATCATATAGCATAATCAGGACAAGAACAGAAACCTGGTGCAGCAAGATGAGGTGACCATGTCAGATAGCGAAACGTGAATGTCCCTGCTTATCTGCACGACACATAATTATGAAGATGAGTAATCATACGAGCACAACTAAAGAGCCACATACCTGCATAATGGTTTGCCTCACAAAAGTCACAATGAGAAGCATTTACTTTGTGCATTCCAGGATTGCAGGGGGGACAATCCACTAAAGGTCCATCATTAGGTAATGTCACTGAGCCAGTAGCATTCTCGTAACAAATCCTTGGCTCAATCCATCGGTAACTCAGCTGAGTCTGCAACACAGTTAATTCCAAATATCCAGACAAATCACTGATTTTAAAATTCAAAGTCAACTGCTGTGTTATCAGGGACTTTGAACTTCTACTGCAGTACTGTTAAGGAGTTCATGTCTTTCTGTTCAACGACTGAAGTAATCTTCTGTTTTCCTAATCGTCTATCTCTCAAGGCACAACTTCCACTTCTTGGTGGAGAAGACAAAACACAAATGACAGTGCTGGATGTGTACACAATAATGAACTTGGGGAGTGTATACTCCTTTAAACTAGGATATGGTAGATTGGATGCCTAACCTTTTTTTTCCCCCAGCTAAAAACAGCAACTGATCAAACTTTTATTAAAGGGTTTGGAATTAGACAAGCATACACGTATAACATTTCTGTCTTTTCCATCACTCAAGTGTTCCCATGAGCATATTGTACACAATAAAAATCCCAGTTGGTTGGAAGTCAAACAGACTAGGCCATATAGGTCAGTTGTGCAGTTTAAAGTATACAATTATAAAATTTTCACACAAAACAACATTTCTTTATTTTTTTTTCTGTAACTACAACTGACATTGACTTCCAGATCAACTAGCGAAAAAATGAGTACCAGGAAATGTGCTGGGAAGTAAAGGTGGCTGGTGTGATGCTGACCACATCATCCATAGACTGCTGATTAGTCTTTACGAGTCTAACATCATATGCCCGATGCATAAAAAGGTTGTTTGCTTTGCTTATTTTTTCACTATTTATAGTATCATCGTCATCAAAAACACTTCTGCCGTTAAACATTGTGGTGAAGAATAAATTGTAATTTACTGCACGGTGACTAGCACTGGCTATCTTCATACTATGAAGGTGCCATTAATGCTGTGGATCCATCTTTCTCTTGGCCCTTCCTCTTGCTCTTGTAGGTGATCTTAAATGTGGTGCCTGTGATGGTATTTGATGCTACTGAATTCTTATCAGATAGCCAAACAACCTGATCTGCTGTTTATCAATAAATCTAGCAAAAGGGGTTTTTCCCACTGCCTGTCTGACATTATCATTATTCCTTTGTTCTTGGATAGTTAAGTTGGCAGCTTTTCTCAGGCATCTCAACTTGCAAGTGGTGTCTGTGCGTATATGGGCTTTAGATTGTACTATTAAAATGCCTTCTGAATATGAGACTTGAATGAATGAATGAATCAATCAAGAATTGACATCACTGCACTGGGGACAGTCCCACAAGTGCTCCATCTCCTTCTCCAGTAACCAATGAAGAGCTGACATACCAATAGTAATGGTTGCAACCTGATTAAATCTTCACCTGTTTCCCCTTCAATGTTGAACTTCTTCCAGAAGATCTACTCACCCCCTGTTGAATTAAACTGTCAGTGTATGGATTCCCTATCTGGTTTTTTGTACTGTTCATTTGATCCCACAGAGCCTTCACCACATTCGATTTATCGTATATATGAGACTTTTGAACTGATTGGGTCAAACTAAATATATGCACATTTACTGCTAAAATTTATCTTCTTACCTTTCCATTCTCATTACACGGCTTCTGATACTCATAATAGTCCAGCACAGTACATGGTGGGCGAACCGAGCATTCGGCTGAGCCAGGTTCTATGAATACAAAAACACGTTTTCACCAAACTGTGATACTAATAAAGTAAGTCTGGCTTAGCAAGGCTCTAAGAATATAAAAACATGTTTGCTTACACTGAGTTGTCTTCTTCTTCTTCTTCTTCGATCCTTCTGTCAGAAAATTTAAGAAATTAAAAGCACATTTAAACATCACATTTCAGAAACGTAAATATCAAACGTCACAGAGGTTTAGTGAAAAAATCAATGACTTGGGCATAGTTCCGAAATAAATAATAAGGGTCAACTAGAGTTGTGGGTCCAAGGTCCCATTCTGGAGGGGGGGGAAAAAAATAGTCCCCTTAACAAGCATGTCATACAAGATGACCAATTAGGGTGTTTCCTCTGAAGTCATCTTCTTGAGAGGCAAAGAACCAACAGTCAGCATACAAATCAGCCACATCTGTAAAATGGATGTGCATGTCTAACTCAAGCCCTGAAACAAGACCGAAGTCAAAAATTAGATGAACAACCAGAACTTTCCTCCAGAGTTAACAGCCAGTGAAAGATAAGAAAAAGAAGAAGTAAAAAAAAATGGTAGATACAAGATACTAAAGACTCGGGGCATGAAAACGCAGGAGGTAAGGTAACTGGTGTAGGATCAAGAATATTTCTGGCAGGGTGTGATAGTACCAATGTTGTGCAAAATACCTGCCTGGTGTCAACCATTAGACACACTGGGTATCACGTCTCATTTTCTTTAAACAGAAGAAGAACATTCCTTTATCCTAGCTGGTCGAGTAGTTTTTCTGTTCGTTTTTTTTTTTTTTTAGAAAAAACAAAGGGTAAAGTAGATTGGAGATTAGTGTATCTGCATCAGGCTCAAGCAGACCAGATTTTGACAATGTGGACTTTTTCTTAACAAGAAAACAAACCGTGATTGATAAACTCCCCCTGATCTTGGGGTAATAAAAGGGAAACTTGACTCCTTGAATAAGGCTGAAAAACTGAAAGGAACCTCTGTTCCCTCCAGAGATGGAAAATAGACAATTCCTGGTTGATTAGGCTGCTACCAAAGCAAATTGACCAGATTAGAAAAGCAAATGTTTTAACAAGTTATTCTTGTATGCACACATATAGGTTCTTGCCAGTGTTACAGCACTCAATTACTGGGTTGCAATTCTTGTATGTGATCTATGGGAGCATACTGGAAATATCTGTGGGCAATTAGAGTGACTCCTTAAAAATCAAACCAGTACCTTTAATCCCACAATATTAGGCTATAAAACTGCTTTCCTTTTCACTAGTCATTTTTTTCTTCTGCTTCTTCTTCTTAGTTTACACTTTGGGAGAAAGTTCTGGTTGTTCACCCACTACGGGACCTTGGTCCTGTTTCAGAACTTGAGTCTTGTGTGCACATCTGTTTTACAGATCTGGCTCATTTTTTTTTGCAGCCTGTTGGTTCCTTGCCTCTCAGGCAGATGCACTCCAGAGTCAAAGAAAACACCCCTAATTAGTAGCCTTTTACAACATGCTTGTTAAAGAGCAGAGAGTCTATCCCCCACCAAATGGGGCCCCAAACCCACACAGGCAAGTCATTAATTTGTATTAGCCTTTTTCTGTCCAGTACAAATAATCTCATATAATATGTACACAACTCCATCGACACAGACACTTACCGGCGTACTCCCAGGATTTGCAGACTTCACACTGTTTGGCTCCATGTTCAGAGTAGTGATCAGCGGGGCAGAACTGACAGAAGGATGCTCCCCCGCTGCTGTAGGTACCATTGGCACATTTTGTACACTCGGATGTATAGGCAACACCTGCCAATGAACAGAATATTACCACGAAACCTTTCACATTTACACTGATCAAAACTACACTGCTAGCGAAGCAGATACTCGTTCTAAAGCAAGCTTTACTCACTCCCAGATCCACATAGACACACATTCAGCTATTTATCTATTTAAAATATACCAATTTAATTCCCTCAAGTAAAAAAAAAAAACAGGTTATCCTTCAAATAATGGCTACATATTATGGTGGCCAAAAACACACCCTGACAGGGCCTCAACCACATGTAAATTGCGGACTACTTTCCGGCGAAAATACCGCGGCAAAAGTATGATAAATTTCCGGCAATGATGTCCAAAAACGCAACAAACCGCCAAATTAAACTCACTGCAGAGAGTTTCCCCAGTGCCACTATGCGCGGCACGGAGTGGGGCTAGACTAGATGGCTGGGACTCACGAGCAGCAGCTACTAGATCAAGCAGCTTCCTCATTTTATTTGCTCATGAGTCCCAGCCATCATCTAGTTTAGCAGTCCTCCGTGCCGTGCGTAGCGGTGTGGGGGATACTCTCAGCAGTGAAAACTGCGTTTGCACTAGCCGCGCCTTGTTCAGATCATATTTAGCTGAGTTTCAATGGCGCCACTTCTGTTCCACTATTTTAAGATATAATGACCTCAATTATCGCTAAGTAGTCGATTTAGTCATTTCCCCTTTTTTTTCGTTCCTCATTATTTTTGAGTTCAAGTTTTTGAATGTTTACAACACACAACCTAATGAGGCCCTGTCAGGGTGTGTTTTTGGCCGCCATAATATGTGGCCGTTATTCAGAGGATAGCCAAAAAACAAGCAAAATCAGAAAACAGAACTGAATGGTAATGATTATAATAAATCTGTTCACCTGTGAGTTCAATTTTCCTGATCATCACCGGGCTCACACTTGGGTGGATCAATTCTGACAGTGCCCCAATAGTTCTCCACTGCAGAACGTTCATGCCTGTCTTCAGCTCAACCTTCAAATACAAGCAAAAACAGGCACTATCTACTGTCCCGTGCAAGTTGTAAATTAGTTTGTAAATATCATCTTTTCATCCAAGCAACTGTAAATTGTTTATAAGCAATTATGAATGTTAGTAGATCACGAGAGAAGCGACTGGCCGAATGGTTAGAACGCTGGACTCTCAAGTGGAAGACCCAGGTCCAAATTCTTGGTAAGGCTGGGGATTTTTTTCTGGCGGGGGGAAAAATTAAATCCTCACCTGCACAGTCGTGGCGACAGCACTAGCCACTGGGCCGTAAATCCTCAGGCTCAAAGACCCCTCCTGCCTGAACCGCAAAAGTGGTAAAATATAAATGACACTGGCGGTAGATTATGAGTATTACTAGAATTGTAGAATATACAAGCAGACTTACAAACAACTGAAGTCACCAACTGGCAAGGGAAGGTCAGTCACAGAAATCTTCTTCACGAGATTCTGGCAGATGCTCGAGGCTTTGAGGAAAGGCAAGATGGACATTTTATCAGAATGCTACCGGAACCATAAGTATCGGAACTCTTTACTTGCTGCTGAAGATGAGGACCGAGTGCTTATGGGAATGCCCCGAGTGCTGTGATGTCGGTTCTTGAATTAACTCAACTCTACAGGTCGTGGGTTAAGGTCCTGACCTAGCCTAACTTATTTTTTAAAATGACCTTGGCTCCCAGGTCGACCCAGTCTTTATCATCCTGTGAAGTAAAGGCGGCCAGCGTCATATGGACCACATCGTCCAACGAGTGCTGATTGGTCTAGCCCCATATGCCTAAGGTGTGGAAAAGGGTCCTTTACTTTTACACAACCTTTATTTCCTCAGGCTAATGATGACCCCTCCCTTCTGCCCTAAACCTTGTCAAAAAGTGGTATTCTGAAAAAAATAGGGGGTTTGGCTCAATGTTTTGTGGTTTACAGCTGGGCTGTGATGCATGCACCTTTCCACCCAACATTTCAGCAAATCCTTAACTGGCGACCTTTTAGGGCATGCTAGTTAAGCGGCAGAGGGTTAGTCCCCCCCCCCCCCAAATGGGGCCCTGGGACACAAAGGGAGAGAAAATGAATTAGTAAAATAATGACAGTAGAAGGTAATTTTTTTTTTTTGGGGGGGGGGGGGGGTGGGAGAGAGGAGGATGGGGGGGAGGGGGAATTAGTTTCATTTTGTTCCCACAGCAAATATTAATGTCTGTAAACTGCAGCTACGTGAAAGCATGCATTAATGTACACAACACCTACTGTAATCGTTGACCATCTGCCTTCACTTGTAATCTCTGGCCACTTATCTGTGTCCTCACTGTCCATGGCTTGACACTGGTCATTCTGCACCTGCAGGAGAATCATTCCATGAGTGTTAAGTGCATTCTACCAAACTCTTTCAGCAAAAAGCAACTCAACACACGGTTTTAAATAACTTATTACATGATGTAAGTAAATGGAAAAAAGTAAAGGACCCTTTTCCACGCCTTTAGGAGCATAGGGCATATAGGGCTAGACCTATTTTTTTTAAAGACCAATCGGCAAAAGATGGGTGATGTGGTCAGCATCAAGCCGGCTGCCTTTACTTCCCGGGACTGCACCCGGTACCCACTCAAGGCTGGGTCGACCATTTTTTGAAAAAGTCTGGCTCCGCCAGGGAGCGATTACATGATGTACTTTACTTTTTTCTTGTGCTTTGTCAGGATGTTATATTATCCTTTAAGAAAAATGGGCCATGAACATATGTGAATTCCCATTTTAAAATCCTTTAACAAAAACCATTTTATTCCTCTAAAAACAAAAAGGTGTTTTTAATGTATTTATCTACATGTTTATATTTGCACCCACAATATATTCACATATATAAAAGGGGTAATAAAAGGTAAAGTCTGGAGATGTGAACCAGCGTCACTGCACACGGTTATAAACCATAATGGCTCTGCCACCAGTACTGACAGCTGATAAGAAACTGTTCGCCTGTGTCGCCGTCCACACGCAATTCTGTAGCTACAGCGACATTCCTCCATTTACCCCCAGAGTGTTAACTCTGGTACCCATTACCTAGAGGCTGGGTGAACCCTGGGAACCATCCGGTTTATAATATAAGAATAAATAAACATAAATGGGGTAATTAATAAACACAACAAAGTGAAGCACTAAATGCAATACATTCTCCGGGGACTAAGAAACAATATGTATCGGGTGACTTGCTGTGACCTCTATCAGCGAGGCTTACGGGGAAAATATTACATGAACTTGGCTTCAAAAAAAGCCATTGGGTCACAAGGAAACTCCACTGAATGCTACTTTTAGTTACTATATTCATATCCTTGCCTACTAAAATTGCACTGAACACATAGAATTTAACAGAATTTAAATACACTTTTCTAGAACAGGTCACTGCAGACAGGCCGAAATACCAGTATTTACAGGACTGCTACCCAACTGGAAGTGACTAGAATTAGTGTTCTCGAGGTGACAGGGTTAACTCACTCTGTCTCATATGTTACTGTAACTCTTACTGGCTAATATGGTTAATTTTGCATCTGCTTTAGATGCAGCTTTAATTAATTTAGAATCATGGTACTGCTAAACACATTGAAACCTTTAAGGCACAGAGTTGCATAAACTAACAAAGAAAGTAACAGACACTTAAATCACTGGAAACTGACTGGCAAAGAATGGTGATACAAGAGGTAACAGACAAGACACTATTATCAAAATCTGTGTCAGTTTTTATATGCCGTTTCTGAAAGGTCTTAGCAGCCCCCCGCGCCCCCCCCCCCCTTTCCCTCCTTTTTTTTTCACACTCACGCATGGCAAACTTTATATTTCCTCTCTTCTTATACACTGTATCATTTATTTTCACATGTGTATGTTTCATTTCAAGATATCAGTATCCGCCAAGGTTTTCTTTGTCTGCTTTTAAATAATTTTTTTTCTCTCATAATTTATTATAGAATTCAGGTACTTTAACAACATTATTGTCTTTGGCTCTTGCTAACTTTAGTGTTTTGACTTAATTAAATTTTTAAAAAAAAAATTAAAAAGGCACAAATGACATTCTTACCACAAAATGAAATATGGATTCCGGGTCTGTATACTGGTACTCGAAGGTCAACCGGCCTGCCCTTATCAGTTTGGCAGAGAACAAAAGGTTACTAGGGCACTGGCCAGGCACTGACATAATGTAGTTTCCTCTTGGAGTCCACTCTGACCTAACAATTTCAAACACATTAATAAGGGTGAAAACAAACACACGTAAGATAAAACTCAAAAACAACCAAAGGGTACAGGGGTGGGGGGGGGGGGGGGGGTGCTGTGTACGCGTGTGTATGTACATGTGTGCCCTCTGTTATACTTGCAAGCTTATTATGAGCCAGGTGAAGCATCAGTGAGAAGGCCAAAGAAGGGAATGGAGAAATAAACTGACAGCCCTATGTGACACATACAAGGATGTCGATGATGATGATGAATCAATCTCATTTAAATACATTGTTGGCATATAGGACTATTAATCACTTTACTCTTTCAAGACAGTATTTGGGATGGGGTGGGGGGTGAACATAGTTAATTTTTAGCTGAATCCTTTTTACTGCAACATGACAAAGCTTACACCTACCTGAAGAAAAGGTACTGGCTGTATTTATTGTATTTATTGAATTAAAGAGAAAGGAATACAGAATACATCTAAACTATTTAACTCTTTCAGGACGGCATTTTTTTCTGGGGTTTGGACAGCATTAATTTTGAGCGGAATTTTTTTAATAAAACATGACAAAGCTAAAAAAAACCTTCCTAAAGAAAAATTATTGGTTGTATCGGGACTTATAATATATCAAATTAAAGACAAAGGAGTGCAGAATAAATCAAAACTACTTAAATGTCAGTAGAACAACAAAATTGTATTAAAACCACACAACATTCAAGCATGTTAGACACATATGAACATTTTTGACACAACAATTTTGTTTTGCTTACCTTATTTTTTTACTGGTTCAACAACACTGCTATCCAATTCTAAGAATACACATGCCTCCTCTGTTCAATTATGTATTAGCTAGTCTTTATTTGAAACAATTAATGTAAATACTTTGGATATTATAATCCTTTTTGTATGACATGTCAATTGTCACAATCGAAAATCGGATAAAAACAGCTGATCAAAACATTGATCTTATTGAAATATTTTGTGAAATTGTCATATCCTAAACTCAATTATCGCTAGTAGATTTGTCCCTTAGATATCAATCATAATATCAAAACTGTTGTTACCATCTGGCAGGGATTCATCAACGATAGAGCAGTATGGACAGTTCTAGACCTTTTCCCTTATCATTTAGTATTGAAAAATCACATAAAAATTGTATCCCATCTAAATAATTTATTTTAAATCACGAAATAATGAACCGACCATGATGAACATCGCAAATGAAAGTACTTCCTGTTGTTAATCCTAATTGTTAAAAAACCTGTACATAAAGGTTCGTTTTCCCTACAAACGGATCAAAATTAGAGTGTCTCTATCATGATCCAGTAAACTGGCTTTACATCCCTAAGTGATGGACTTCAAGTCCAGTAAACTGGCGATTCGTCCGTAAAGAGTTAAAGATCAGTACTGCAGCAACAAAATATGACACCACATTCAAGGATGTCAGACACATTGAGATTTAAGCTCAAGAGATTTTGTACTTATCTTCATTTTTTTTTAATTTTTTTCTAAGAATGTAGATCCCCCTCCTTTATTCAGTTATGCATCAGCCAGTCTATATTTGAGACAAGTAATCTAAATATTTTAGATTTTATGACCATTTGTGTGAGACATGTCAAACTTCAGAACGACCAGACACAGCTGATCGAAACAAGGATGATCCCAATGAAAAAAAAGTTTCTTTTACGATGTATCCTGCTACCCCAGACAGCTGGAGCTACATACCTGGAACAGTTTACACCAGACAGATGGAGCTACATACCTGGAACAGTTTACACCAGACAGCTGGAGCTACATACCTGGAACAGTTTACACCAGACAGATGGAGCTACATACCTGGAACAGTTTACACCAGACAGCTGGAGCTACATACCTGGAACAGTTTACACCAGACAGATGGAGCTACATACCTGGAACAGTTTACACCAGACAGCTGGAGCTACATACCTGGAACAGTTTACACCAGACAGCTGGAGCTACATACCTGGAACAGTTTCCCTTATGATGTATTCTGCTACCCCAGACAGATGGAGCTACATACCTGGAACAGTTTCCCTTATGATGTATCCTGCTACCCCAGACAGATGGAGCTACATACCTGGAACAGTTTCCCTTATGATGTATCCTGCTACCCCAGACAGATGGAGCTACATACCTGGAACAATTTCCCTTATGATGTATCCTGCTACCCCAGACAGATGGAGCTACATACCTGGAACAGTTTCCCTTATGATGTATCCTGCTACCCCAGACAGATGGAGCTACATACCTGGAACAGTTTCCCTTATGATGTATTCTGCTACCCCAGACAGATGGAGCTACATACCTGGAACAATTTCCCTTATGATGTATCCTGCTACCCCAGACAGATGGAGCTACATACCTAGAACAGTTTCCTTTATGATGTATCCTGCTACCCCAGACAGATGGAGCTACATACCTAGAACAGTTTCCCTTATGATGTATCCTGCTACCCCAGACAGATGGAGCTACATACCTGGAACAATTTCCCTTATGATGTATCCTGCTACCCCAGACAGATGGAGCTACATACCTGGAACAATTTCCCTTATGATGTATCCTGCTACCCCAGACAGATGGATCTACATACCTGGAACAGTTTCCTTTATGACGTATTCTGCTCCCCCAGACAGATGGAGCTACGTGCTCAGTTTTAACAGCAAAACCTGGGGGCAGATGATCCCACTCATCAAATCGAATGCCCCCACCAAGTGAGTATGTTCCTGCAGGACATGCATGGCACGACTGGTCTCCTTGAACGTCTAAATACTCTCCTGGGTTGCATGCAAAGTCTGGAATGCACACAAGAACAGCGTATTTTTGTGTAATCTACATGGGTAAGGTAACTAAAGTTCTCGAGTTTTAAAACTAATATTCAATAAATCTGTTACAAAACAAACTACCATATATTAGAATAGTCTCTATACAATACATTCTTCAACAAAATACTACACAATACAATTGTTCCCAATACAAACATCAAATCGAACATCACTTCTCAAACACCTTCCTTCTGGAACAATTTGGTTTCTGAACAAATTTTTTTTTTTTTGAAGAGACCATTGGTTCCCGAACAGCCAATCCTGAAACCATGTATTTCACAAGATAATACTGAGCAAACGAGCAATTTCAGTGCAGATTCCTTCTCAAATGTGAAGTGCGTCTTTCTATGATTTTCTTTGACAATGTTTCTGCTCTAGTTTTGATAGATGAGCTTGTGGAGACATTTGATTTTATCATGGTGAAGTACCTGCTCTCCAGAGTGTGTTGCAATTATAATTTGTGTATGTTTACAAAAACATGAGTCTTGATTTTGTGAGCGCTGATGCTCAGTTGAGGACAAGAAGATGTTTACCATAGAAGAACTTTAGCATCTTTAAGGAAACAGAAAAACCATTGTTGCTGTCAGCAACTTGTATTTATGACATTATTTATGACATCAACTTGATTTCATAGAGGCAAAGAGAAAGATAATTTGTGTGAATAATTATGACTTTTATTGTGAGTCTTATCTGTAATAACACTGTTAAATTTGCTATGTTTTTTCTTTACAGTTGTGTGAATGAAGTATGCTGTAAAGAATAAAACTATAAACAATCATCTGGAGTTTTAAAAAAATTAAACTATTTAACCATACTTCTTATAGAGAAAATGGTTTCAGTTTTTGAACAACTCAGTTTCTGAAATTTTTTTTAAAGTGATTAAGTTCCTTAACCAAGGTTCTGCTGTTATTTATTTTTCATAGTTCACATAGCAAATTTTCAAACAGTCTTTCATGGTTTTTAGTATATTGTTTTTCCCTCACTATAATACAAGCATTACAAATTATCATATCAAATATATTATAGATTACAGATAAAGTTAGTTGCGTATCTTTTTCAGAACATTGCAAAAACAACCCCAGCATTTTGTGTGTGTGTGTGTGTGGTTTTTCTAAGCACATTTCACATTCAGTAGTTTGCCACTGCTTTCTGAGCTCAGCTCTCGGTACCACTGTCGAAACCAATGCAAGACAAACCATCCATAGCTGGGATCGAACCAGGCACCCCGGCATTACAAAGCGTGTTTGCAATGCCTAAGCCACAGACGCCGACATAGATTACAGTACAAAGTTTTCAAGTAAAGGACCCTTTCCACATCATTAGGTGTATTGGGCATATAGGGCTAGACCTATATTTTAATGACCAATTAGCACTCTGTGGATGATGTCGTAATCATCAGGCCGTGTACAATGTTTTAACATTATTTTTTTAAAAATACTACTCACTGATTTATTCAGACAACCAAATTTTTTAGAATTTCAATGCGACTATGTATATAAATGAAGGGGAAATGATCAAATTAAAATAAAAGAGTGTGTCTTCGCCTGCTTTTCTAGCCTCCAATGAAGCATAAGCCCTCAACCAAGTCCCACCAAGTCATTCTATCCTTCACAATCGCATGCAGCTCTTCCCATGTTCCCCCCTCTTAAATTCTCTCTCTAGCTCCCTGCCTATGTGTTTTTGGTCTTCCTTTATTTCTATACAACTGTGGGTTCCATTGCAAAGAGATTCTAGTTATACTGTTTTCAGGTTTTCTCAATGTGTGTTGTCTCCAATACCAGCATCTTTTCTTCACCTCTTGGTCCACTGGAACTTGTTTAGTTCTCTCCCAAAGCTAAAAAATAGTGATTCTATCATACCATTTTATTCCCCTATTCTGCACAGGCACCAGTTAATGAATGTTTGTAGTTTATTAGTAACTGCCTTAGTTGTTCTCCATATTTTCACTCCTTACAACAGTACTGACTTGACATTAGAATTAAAAATTTTAAGTTTAGAATTCGTAATAATTTCTTATGACCTCTAACAATTCCATAGTGCTTTGAAAGCTCCTCATGCCTTTTGTATTCATATTTTAACATCTCTATCAGTTCCCCTATCTTTATCTACATTACTGTCCAAATAGGTGTATGACTCCATGTCTTGGAGTGGGATACCATTGAGAGAAACCATATTACTATTGCCAGATTTATTCTCATTATCTTTGTCTTTCCCTTATGGATTTTCAGACCTAGCTGTTGTGATCTAGCAGCAAGTATATTTAATTTATCTTGCATCTGAGTCCATGAGTGGGACAAAAGAGAAATTTCATTAGCAAAGTCAAGATTATAAATCCTTTTTGTAGGGGTCTGTCACATATCACTCCTGTCACGTGCCTGATTTAAGGATTTCTCCTTAAGAACCAACAGCACTCAGAAATAATTATGTTGAGTCGTTTGGCTCGTATTGGTCTAAGGGATGCCCCGTGGCCAATATACGCTCAACTTATTTCTGGAGTAGGGCAACTCAAGTTTTGGCACTACAAAATATATCTGTATATGAACACACTATTCCTAGGCTCACTTGGCTGGACACCCCCACTACTATAAAAAGAAAGCCCCCAGGTTATGATAGTTTACTATCATAACCATGTTAACACATATAATATTTATGGTTCATACACCCAACAATGCTAAACACTTAGAAAGGTGAAATAGAGACACCTAAGTCAGCCATTAAAATGAATGTATGTAATCAATACAATATATACATAAAATAGTGAAGTAGACGCCAGATCTCAGTGGATGGATCCCAGAATACAATGACCAGACTCAACAGAAATCTAAACAGCCAGAAAGTCCTGGAGGTAACACAGTCTCATCCTTGGAATCCATTGGAGCTGTGGGGAATATAGCATGATATAGAATTAAACTAGAACTTATCCTAGTCCTATTGTTGATGCTTCCCTCAGCTCCTGGTGATTCGACTGTCTTTGACTCTGGCAATTCTGCTTCAAGTGGATCAGGTAGTAGAGGAGTACCTCACCATAGAGGACACAGAAACTGTATAGGTACTCAGCTAGTCTCTCCCACCGGTCAGGTCACAATACTGTCTCTGAGCTACACCAATCTCCTGAAGACTGGTCTACTCGAGTATGGATATACTCTCTGCACTGTTCACCTGCCCTGGAGTTCACTCACATGCTCTGGCACTGTTAGGATATTTGGGGTATATGGCACCCCATGATGATGATGCCAGGTACCTTACTGGTGTTAGCTGGTGGGTAGTTGGTTGGTGGGTAGTTGGTTGATAGTTAGTTGGTAGTTGGTTGGACTGTGATTATTCTGCCAGCTCTTCACAAAGGTTTCATCCCAAGCATAGGAAAAGTCCTGGACACTACAGGCCGCCTTCTTAACGTGAAATTAACTGAGGTGTCGATGAGTACATCTGAGCTCCAGGAAAGCCGGCAGAAACAATGCCCGCACAAATTCAAGTTAGGTGTCGGTAAGAAGAAGTTCCTTGTATACATGAGCAAGGAGTAAACCGGTTTCCAGGAGTATTCAAATAACTCTAGAAATAATTATTTTACAGTTGCCAATTTGAAAATGATGATAAGCCAAAGCAACTAGAAGATGTAGACATTATAATTTTATCCGATAAAGGTATATATCGATATAAGGGACTATATACCCTTCCGGACGAGTCCAAGTTTGAAAGTTTTGTCGAGCACAGGTAATACAGGTCCCGACTCTTGTACTGGTAATGTGTAATGGCTTGTCATTCCTTGACAGGGTCCACTGAATTCTATTCTTTGCATTAGAGTTCATAATCTAGACAATCACGGTAAAAATAGGATAGGTGACAAAAGACATCCCTTCACATGTATCTTCTGTAAGCTTTTCCTGAAAATTCAACATTTCATGTTTTCATATTTTGCCGGCTGACCAACAACTTTTGAATGTGCATGAATGTGCCTTGAAACCAGTACCACTGCACTTCACTTCCCAGAATCACCGAGGTGTTCATGACTGGAGGTGACAGCCATCAAATCTAGCCACTCCAGTGACAGTCTGCAAGTCTCCTACAAATTGCTTTATTTTCACTTTGGGCATGTTAACACCTAGAGGACTGAATTGTCAACACAGTTTTATCTAAAATTCTAGGGGATTAAACTGCCCATCTTAAACCCTCCAGTTTTGGCCCCAAGTATTCCCCAAGGGTATTTATTCTCCTGTCTCAAGTGTCTCGTCAGTCTATTGGCAAGATATAGACCTGGCTGCTTCGAGATAAGTGATTTTGTGTATTTGTGTGGTTTTGTTTCATAGCATCTTTTAGTCTTTTTGCACACCTAAACAAGTCTTAAGCTGGGCAAATTTTAGATTCTCCCCCCCCCCCTCCCCCCCCATACACACACTTTTTATGGTCTACTGGTGGTGGCGAGCCTGTGGTGTGTACTCCCCTAATCCCATTTCTGAGACCACTATCTGAAAGTCTGACACTATGTTGACTTCATAAGCCAGATTTTGAATTTCAGTCCAATGGGGGGGGGGGGGGGGGGGGGGCGCCCCCTGGTACATCTTTAACCATATGAAATGGTTATAAATAGGGGATCTGTGGCGGCACAAAGTACTATCCTGATGCACACGGCTATCCTAGATGAGTTTGGTGTGTCACATGTCTCTACATTATAATATCACATTTTATTTCCTTCCATAATATAAATACTGAATAAGAGTGTGAGGTAATGAATGAGATGATTGTTTGGCTACAGAAATGGCAACAGAAGGAACACTCAAACTGGACAAGAAGACATTCTGAAGAGTCCGAGTGAATGCTTCTGGAAGATGTGATGTTAGATGAAACAACAGGTGTAAGTGTGGGTGAATTATGAAATAAGTACAGAACCAGCAGGAAAGGATGTATGACAAAATGAGTATGAATGTCTACACAAGTGTGCTATAGTTAGCATCTACACTTTAAGATATTTGCTGCAGGAGAAGGAGCATCTATGGGTATGCCTGGTTTTCTTTCATTTGTGGGGTGGGGGGAGGGGGGGGGAGGGGGGGTTAGGGTGAATCTTGTTTAACTAGTTCCTTGGTGAGCTCACTTCCCTGTACTATGATCATTTTTAAGTCAATAATCAGTACAGACCGAAAAAGACTTACTGCACTCTTTTCCTCTTATAGGAGGTCCTGGTGCTACGGATGGTATACAGATGCCTGGCTCCTTTGGCACAGGAACTCTCCACCTGCCCCCATCACTGTCACATTCTGTATACTCATAATGGAAATCATCCTGGGGGTGGAACATTAAAAAATATTTAATAAAGAATATACAATGGAATTAGTAAAATCCAGAGATTACCAAATGACAATGCAAAAGCTCTCTAGCACCAAAAAATGAACAAAATATCAAAAAATCACCCCAAATGTCTGTATGCTAGAATCAAGCATGTAATGAATCTTCTGGGTAACTCATCTAACTACTTATCTTTGGTTAGCTACAAGCAGTAGAGGGCAAGATAAGAAGAGGCAGACCAAGAAAGACCTGGATGCGGAGAATGACTGACTGGACAGGCTTTCGGCATGCAGCCATGAAGTCTAGTGTATTTTACCGTCAAAAATGAAGGGAGCTGACAGAAAGTCAACAGCAGCTGGTGACTCAATGACACGCAATGTTAAGGGACAATAATGATGATGATGAGTTAATTGCATATCCTTTTCAGAATAATGCAGAACCAAAACCCCTATTTATTGGCGTTGGTTTTACGAGGCAATTTTATGTTTAGCAGTTTGTCCACTGCTTCTCAGCGGCTGGCTCCTGATACACTTGCCAAGATCAACAGAAGGCAGTCTTCTGCCGAACTACCCACAGTTGTAATCGAACTTGGCACCTTGGAATTATGAAGTGCGTCCGCTACGCCTAAGCCACAGACACTCTTCTTTAGAGCATTAGTAAAATATAAAAAGTCGTTTCACATAGGATAACTGGATCTTTAAGTTTAACTTTTATTACAAGAGAACATCTTCTTACCTTTTTTTTTTTTTTTCAACGGATCCAGAAACCATGAGTTGTAAACCCTTTGGCTCGGTACTATGGATATCGCAACCCTTCGGCTTTGATTCCATTATAGGTACCGTTAATCTGGGAGAAATGTGGCTTTTCTGCCTACCCCCGGGAGTGAACCCGGACCACAAGGAGTTCGTCACCCGGCCGCCGCGAAAGTCAGGTTTAACCAACTTCGCTAGAGAGCCGGGCAACATCTTCTTACAGGCCACATTATGTTGCACTGGTAATCTTGTCAGTTCATGGCCAACTGTCTCATGTGCTGCTAATTATGTTTGGTACAGATGTTTTTCCATGTCATGAAGCTAAACTGCCCAACACCCTCTCTAATAGTTTCCTCTGTCTCTCTTCCCTCCAACTTCTCTGTTGTCACAATTTACTCTCCTGGGGAAAAAGGGGGGAGGGGAGGGAGGTGGGTAATATACCTACTGCCTTCCTAACAAGCATATTGAAAAAATTTGACTGATCAGAGATTTTTACCTCTGAAGTCTGTATCTGTCTAAGAGGCGAGGAACAAACTGTCTGTATATAAATAAGCCAGATCTGTAAAACGGATGTACATGCAAAACTCAAGTTCTGGAATAGGATTAAAGTCTACAAGTGGACAAACAAATAGAATTTTGCAACAGAGTTTATATCACGGTAAACTCAAAGAAGAAGAAGACAATGTACTCAAGTATCCCCTTCTCCTGATGTGCCCAACTGATGTGGATTATCTTATTCTGATGTAAGCAATCATTTTCCTTTGCTCTTTCAAGACATCCTCATTATTATTTGTATCTCAACATTCTCAAAATGAGCAAATTAAAAACTAAATTACCACCAAGCTACCTTGCAACACAGTAAATAGTTAAACGTCTGTGAGTGAAATATATGCACTGCATATAGGCAACAATTTGTATTTTGACTGTACTTTCTAAACTCATTGTACTGTTAACTATACATCTCTTTAACTGTAAGAGGCCCAACCATGGGTCTAACAAACATCCAAGACCTAAAACAAGTGACAACAAACCGCCAGACATGGAGAGCTATGATCTCATACTATGTGCTGCCCTAGGCTTAAGAGGAAAGACCAACTAACTAATAAAGTAAGAGTTTATGGCTGTAGAATAAAGATGTCATGCACTTATTGAAACAGTAATTCTTGACATACTGTACATATGATTCTATGAACAGCTTGGAGACTCATGAGAATTATAGCTGTCATCAGTATAAAATTAGTTTTAGAATTACATCAGTTCATTGCCATCAATGAATCTTTCCAGAAGATAGTGTTATATTGTGTTACACATCATCAAGTGCCTTGCCAGCTGGCGTAGGCGTTCATGCATCTTTACAGATCTCGGTCTCTGGTGCTCTGGATCAATTCCACTGATGATATTCCTTCATGCCACTGTCTTAAACCATCCACCATCATTTCTCTTGGTCTGCCTCTGATAGCAGCGTTCTTTCCAGTCGTCATATTTTTCAGTGCTCCTTTTCTCATCATATGACCAAAGAACTTTATTCGTCTCCTTCTCAGTGTTGTATATAATGATCTTCTTTCATTAGCCATTTCCTGGCAATCACTGTTACTGTTAGTTATACTAGTATTCGCAACACTCATCTCAAGAACCACATTACACAATCGGTTTAATCACAAAGCCTGAGCAGTACTGTAGTGACCATGTGTTGCCCAGGCAGCATGAACCCTTTCTAGGCCAGCCTTGTTTATACTAAAGGAAAAGTGACATCAATAAGAAGAGCAGCGCTCAGTCTGCCAGCTAGAGCTTTCATCTTAAACCAGCCAACCAATGTGAAGAGCCAGGTCTGATCTGCTATATTATTGAGTTTTTGTTACATTTCCTCTTCCTAAGATAAGATTGTCCTTCCCAATGTGCGGCCTTTGGCCAAAGACGCTGGCATAAGTTGGATATCAGGTTTGCTAAACCCTGTCCAATACTGCTTTATTTCTGGAAAGAAAACAAAAGTGCTGGTACTCACCAACAAATGTTTGTTAAAGTAGCACTGAGTAACCCTTTGGTACCGCCAGAGAAAGAAAAAAACATGAGTATGACTAATTCAGTGCTAAATAACATAGCAAGATAATCATCAATGTTTGGCCACATTAAAATAAGAAAAAGCTGGAACACGTGTAGGGGTGTAGCACAAGAGCTGATATATAGGCTTTCCTCCGAAAAACGGTCTTAAATTATCAAGGCAGAAAATATACCCTAACAGGGCCTCAGTCACGTGTCAATTGCTCACTCCGTCGTCTTAAATTGCGGGCTTCCGCCACCGCCAAGAGTATCCCCCACGCTGCATGCGCGGCGTGGATTGGGGCTAAACTAGATGGCTGGGACTCACGAGTAGCAGCTACTGCATCTCCTGCAGCTTCGTTCATTTTATTTGCTCGTGAGTCCTAGCCATCTAGTTTAGCCCAAAACCATGCCGCTTGAATCTCGGCGGTGGCGGTATAGTCCCCGGAAGTTCGCAATTTGGCGGTGGCGTTATAGTTCCCGGAAGTGCACAACTGACACGTGACTGAGGCGCTGTTAGGGTATATTTTCCGCCTCGATAATTTAGGACCGTTATTTGGAGGATAGCCGATATATACTATCCAACAGTGCTTGAGGTTGCAAGACGTGGAGAAGCATGATGATGGTGATCGCCTAACTGGGGGGACATCAAGAGATGGGCAAAAAGCAGTCTGGGCCTACAAAACAGGATGAGTAGAGACAGTTTTGAAGGTCCATTATTTTACAGCAGACCTTTATGGTGGAGATGGCGCCTAATTAACTAACTGATGATCGATCTAACTAGTTGGCAAAATGATGACAGATTAGAAATGATTCAAACTTGATAATCGTCAGGTTCGCAACATATACGTTTTGTGATCATATATCATTATATCAATATCAAATATCATGTCAAAAAATATTTTAAAAAGTAAATATAATAGCGATCATGCCAACCAAGAAACTTAAATTGTAACAATAAAATCTGCTTTCCTTACCAAATGACATTGCCGTAGAGTCAAAGATTCCTCAGTAACCGCCAACCAGACTTGAAATAACACAGTAATTGCTGTGATAACGTGGCGCTTGCTACCAACTGCCATGACGAAAACAGCAGACGACGGACGAGACATTTTGTTTTTGTATCAAGATATCTATTCCGTCTTCCCTACCGGTGGCGCGACTACTATTCTGTGATCAAGCACATTTACTTGAACAGGGGGGAAAAGCACACTCAGATATCGATTGGTGGATTGCTGTTAAGGTTCCGTCGACCTAGCCTGGTCTCTTCGCGTTGCTCACAACCGTAAACTATCAGCGCGCTGCGACATTTTGACGACGATCGCTTCGGGTAACCAATTAATACTAAAAATAGCTTCATGTCTCATATCAAGGGTTCTGAAAACTTCTCCAAGCGATCCTGATCCTGTCAGTGGTTGATTATGGCCTGGGAATGCTTACCGTCTCAGAGATTCAGATGGACAAACTAGAGCGCGTACAGAACGCGGCTATGCGGGTCATTCTGGGTTGCATCAGAGACACCCTAGTGGTGTGTATGCGATACATCCTTGGTTTGCCTACGTTTGCAGGTAGGCACAAGGTTCTGCATGCGAAGTCGTATCTCAAGGTAGCTGCAGACACAGACTGCCCTTTGCATGAAGCTCTGGGTGCAGTTAAGGATCAGCGGCTGGTAAGAGGGAAGTCATGGATGGCTCAGGCAAAAGATACAATCAGACAGGCTTGCATCCTTGAGAACATTAGGCAAGGAGAAGAGTGCCACTTGAACAGTCAGACGTGTGTAGGGTCATAATCAGACTTTACCGGGAATGCAGAGACTGGCCAGCAGGTGCCACGGAGATGGAAATCCAGCAATTAATTCAAGATAATGCTCGCTCAGAGGATTTAATCATTTACGCAGACGGTTCAGTATCAAGAGGCAAAAAATGTGCTTGGTTTTTTTTTTTAGCAAAAGTTAAGGGTCGACGTTTGGTGCAGGAGAGCTTAGCATATGATACCACAACATCCAGCTTAAGAATGGAGGTGGAGGCGGTCACTGCAGATTTCCGCTAGCTAGAGAACACGACACACACACACACATCGTGACTGTAACTGACCTAGAAAGCATGCTGAGGAAGATCAGGACAGGCATGCTTCGTACAGAGTGGCATGCTTCGCTGCGGAGGACACGAGGAGTATTGTCTAGATTTTTTCACCGAGGCACGCCGTTGGGTTGGGAAATGAACAGGTAGATAGACTGGCTGGCTCTGCACAACTTGGTGGAATACTGATACATGATAAGGCAGACGTGGTTAGTGCCTTGTGGGAGAGCGTGTAAAGTTCGAAGGAGCAGATGGATCACCACAGTCTGGTGAAATTGATGCAGGGGGAGTCAGGAAAGGTTCAGGCAGATGCTCGAGGTTTAGAGGAATGGCAAGATAAACGTTTAATCAGAATGCTTCTCCACCATTATTAACGGAACTCTTCGTTGGCTGCTAAAGATGGGGACGGAGCGCTTATGGGAATGCACCGAGTGCTGTGATGTCGATTCTTGAATCAAATCAATATCCAAGCGATGGGTTTGTGTTCCAGAGAAGTATAGTAAATATTTGCAAGGATAGATTACACAATATTATTATTATTATTTAAAAGTACACTTAAGTTTTTTAGTAAGTCGAAAGATTATTCTTTTTCCACATTAAAGCATTCAGTCCATAAGTGCTTAGATCCACTCCTCAGTAATGCCTGCAGCGTGAAGCGGCGGATGACAACAGTCCTGTGTTGGTTTCTATTACCATTTTATGGACAAACCAGAGCAAGTGATTATTCTACGACTTAGAACAGGACACAATCGACTTCTCAGCCTGTGGGTTTCATGTTGACCTTGCTTTTTCTATATGCTTTTTTTTTTTTTTTTTTGGTACTTTCCCACTGAGTTTTCTAGTCAAAGTTTCTGCATTATTTAGTACTCCGTCATTAAAGACTGGTCGAAACGTTCGGCTGTGTTTTTGTGCGTCTTTTCCACTGACTATTGAGCATTCGCGCGCCGCGGATCGGAAGGTCGTGGGTTCGCTCCCTGGCGGAGACGGACTTTTCTTAAAAAAATGACCTTGGCTCCTAGGTCGACCCAGCCTTGAGTGGGTACCGGGGGCAATCCCGGGAAGTAGGGGCGGCCGGCGTGATGCTGACCACATCACCCATCTTGTGCCGATTGGTCTATAAAAATATAGGTCTAGCCCTATATGCCCTATACGCCTAAAGGCGTGGAAAGGGTCCTTTACTTTTTTTTTTTTATTTAGCTTTCGTCATATTTTGTGTTATATTTAGCATTACTTTGGAGTAGCTGCTGCATCTGAGGACTGGACACGCATGGAAATGCACAAAGTGCAGTGACATTGATTGTGATAACATAACATAAGGGTTATTGCGTTTATAGAGTTTTTATCTTAACTATGACGTCATAGAAACACATGGCTGTGCCAAAGGGGTGAATCATGATTCCTTTGAGAACCGCTGTCAAACTTTCACATTTATAAACACTAATAAAACAGTTTATTCATAATTAATAATATACATTTTCCGGCCCATTTTCAATTTGTAAATCTTAGTAGATCGGCTTTAAAAATATGACTAATTAATTTTAAAAATGATGTCGCAAAACAAATTTTATTTTGAGACTAATTTATCTCCATGGATATTATTTATACTTCCGGTTATGATATAAACCGTTAACTGTTGTTACAGAGTTGATTTTCGTAGTACTAGTTACTCACTAGTTATCTGTCTATTTTCTCAGATACTTCTACTACGATTATCGACACTATTTGGCGACCGAAATGGCATTGACTCATGCATCCAGAGATCCATACTCATTCCCTAGATTTCAAGGGGATGATGACTACATGGGGAAAAGGTCCCCACAGGTAAAAATGTGAAAAAAACTTGCAGGGCCAGTAACCCGATAACTTTTAGTATCATTCCTCACTAAATTGGTAATCTCAACTTTATAATGATTTAATAAGTGGAGTTCTTCTGGGGCGAGATTAAATAATAATGAATGAATGAAAATTTTACCTTGCAACCTCATATTTATGGCATATGATTTGTATATATAATATTTAATATTAATCAACATCTAGCCAGTTTACCAGCCTTGTGTGTTTTCATAGCCACTACATCTTCAGTGTCTTGAATACACCTTCACGACAGTTGGTCTTAGCCTTGTTTTCCAGAAACTACCCCGCCAGTCACCATTCTCTCCAGGCACATTGCATTTAACATGGCCAAAATACCTTAGGTTTCGGGACAGAATGATTTTTATTCGCTAATTCTCCTTGATGTTTAAATCATGTAGGATGTCAATGTTTTTCTTCTTTTTCTATCCATAGTATTCTAAGGATTTTTCTTTAGCATTTCCGTTCAAAAGCTCTGATATTTTTTTTTTCAAGATTGAGTAAGACTCCATGACTTGCAGCCATTAGTTGCCACAAGGGGAAAAAAGACCTGATCTCAAAATTTTTACTTTAGCTTACTTGCAGGTGCCATTCCCAAGGTTCTTCATGCTGCTTGGTCTCTGCTTTGCTAAAGCGAATCTTTTTCTGACTTCTTTTGTACAGTCACCATTGTTGTTCACTACTGAGACTAAATATTCAATTCTATGACATTTATGACATCTTTGACTGGGAGATCAGTGGTAGAAGAAGAACAGGCACACCAAGATAGACGATGTCGGATGCACTACGATGGTGGCATGGAGGGAAATCACCGGTGGAAGTGATCCAGAGAACAAGGGACAGACCAAGATAGATGATGACGGACGGACTACAATGGTGGCATGGAGGGATATCATTGATGGAACTGATCCAGAGAACAAGAAACAGACCAAGATAGACGAATACGGATAGACTACAATGGTGGCATGGAGGGATATCATCGATGGAACTGATCCAGAAAACAAGAAACAGACCAAGATAGACAATGACAGATGTACTACGATGGGGCATGGAGGGATATCATCGATGGAACTGATCCAGAAAACAAGAAACAGACCAAGATAGACAATGACAGATGGACTACGATGGAGCATGGAGGGATATCATCGATAGAACTGATCCAGAAAAGAAGAAACAGACCAAGATAGACAATGACAGATGGACTACGATGGGGCATGGAGGGATATCATCGGTGCAACTGATTCAGAGAACAAGAAAAAAAGATCTGTGGAGATGCATGAACGCCGACGCCAGTCAGCAGGGCATGTGATGATGATGATGAAGTTTTCAGTCTCTCCATCATTAAATGTAATATGTTTTCATTGTGGACGTCAGTATTATTTTTTTTTCTAGATTCAGAAACAAATTCTCTTCTGCTCTGTACTTTTTTAATGGTTAGAATTAATTTTTCAAAGTCCTGTACACTGTTGGAAAGAAGAGCTATGTTGTCTGCATATCTGACTTCTAGGACAGGTTTGCCTCCAGTTGTAATCATCTGTTTAGAGTCTCCAGGAATAGGTAATAGAATAGTCTCCTATTACTTTCCACATCCACATGCCTTAGCACCTTATTATAAAGACCAATTGGTACTCATTGGGTGGTGTGTTTAACATCAGGCCGACCGCCTTCACTTTCCAGGACTTTACCTCACACCCATTTAAAGCTGGATACACCTGGTAGCCAAGCTCATTTTTTTTTAAAAGTCCAGCTCTACCAGGACTTTTGGATCCACAGGCTAGCATCTAGCCGCTACACCATGGCGGCTTCTGTGTTTATAATTTAAACAATTTAATCCAGCAGCGACTGATTAGTTTGATTTTGATTTCTCCTGTTGAATCAGACTGTCTGTTAACCAATACCTCTAACTCTTGCCCAGCGTCAGCCACCCTGGAAACATATCAGCCATCAGCACACACTTAGTTCAGCAAGAAGACAGGTCTATCACTTTAATCCATCTACACGGCACGATCAATTGGAATTTTGATTGTAAATTATGTTTATAAATAGAAAAAAAAAATGACTCCAACAGGTGACTGATTTGTTTCATTGTTTTCTGTTGTTGAATTAGACTGTATGTTATCCAGTACCCACACATCTAGCCCAACGCCAACCACCCTGGAATCGTATCAGCAATCAGCATACACTCAGTTCAGCAAGGAGACAGGTCTATCACTTTGACCCATCTGCACCACGCGATGACTTGGACTTTGTTCTGAAATCAACTTATAACCAACACAAAGAACTGCTGAGGAACAAAAACGAAGTTGTTTTCCAGCCAGAGACGTTTACTGATGACCATGGGTAAGTTCAGGAATATCATCAACCTGTTGTTTATGTGTCACTTTCTTGCAATTTGTTCTTCTTCTTCTTCTTTGTGTTCGGTTTCATATGCTCAGATCAGACCATCAGGTAGGTTGCCTCTATGAACTCGAATGTCAGCTGCAGGTCCTGCATGGTTCCCCATAGCTTGTTCTGCACACTTTGCTCTTGAGGCCAGGTGTTTTTTCGAAGTTGCAGGTAGAGTGGGCAGGTCTGCAGAATGTGCTGAGGTGTTTGGGGTCCTGTTTGACAGGTACACTGGGGGGACTGTACAATCTTTATTTTAATGCTTGTGGTAGTTGAGCCTGCAGTGTCCTGTTCGTAGACGTAAAATTGTTGTATGTTGCTTTCTGTTGAGTCTGCTGATGGAGTCTTGTGGAGGTTTACTGTTAGTTTGTTCTCTCCACAATCCCTTGTATTTTCCTTTGAGAAGTGTTCTGATTTCTGGTAATGACAGTGAATGGGTGTGGTGTTTCTCCTTTGTTCCATTTTTTGCAAGTCTGTCTGCTAACTCATTTCCTGGTATGCCGCAGTGAGCCGGGATCCACTTGAGAACGATTTGATTGTTTTCTGTGAGTCTGTTTAGCTGACGGGTCAGTTCTCTTTCCATGTTGTCTCGTGGATCCCTATGAGTGGCATGGAGGACTGACATGCAGTCACAAAGGAAAACAATTTTGCTGTTTTTAATTTTTATTTTCATTTAAGCACTTTGGCTGAATCAATAATTGCTTGCTGCAATGAATGGGGAAGAAACTAGAGGCTGGGAAGATGTAATTCTTAAGAAGAATGGTGAGATAAAACTGATACTAAGGTAATGAGCAATATTTTGTATTATTATTCCAGACGAGTGTTGAAGAATCGGATAAAAGCAGAACCTGAGAAGAAGATGCCGCTGAATCACCCCCTTATTGTCACAAGTCAGAAGAAGAAAGAAGATATCAATAGTGTTAAGAATGCAGTTGGTGAGTAGAATCATAATATACATTTATTCTTTCATAATTAGTTTTATATTAATTCTTTCTGCCCCAGTATCAAGTGTGATCAGCTGTTGTTCTCTGTTTTTGAAGCAGGGAGTAACAAATATACAATTTTCTGGGAGGGTGTGTTTTGAACATATTAAAACATATGTATACATATTTTAACATGCAGCATAGAATATGTTTCATCTCTGAAAGTAATAAATTGTTGCTTTATTTATTGTGATTACTGTCCCTTTTGGATATCCCTTGTAATATGTTCTGAGACAGAAAGAATTAATTTTTTTTTTGTTTCTGTTAGATTTTGGCATTTGTTTAACAAAATCATGTTTTTAAAGTTATTAAAGTTTTTTTTTTTTTTTTTTTTATATCGATAAGTGGTAAAAGAAACTGAAAATGAATTTTAATAACTGGAGAAAATATGACAACTAATGACACATTTTTGGCGGATAGTTTTTAATAGAATTTCAGTTAAAAAATTGAAGAGGACATAAATTTAATGTAATCATCACAGACAACAAGCAGCAGTAGATGTGAACTGTTGGATGTTTGTTATTACCTAAGAGAAAAAATTTGTAAAAATTCTTGCAGTTTATATAAAATGAGAAAAAGAATGAACTTGCAAAGACCCGGCAGGTGAGTATATGATATGCGGCACTGCCAGAACACATTTTTTCTGATAGGCTGCCAGAAGTATGACATTTTTAAATAGTTCTTTATACTTAATACATTAAACAACTCACTGTTAAATTACACAAGCTAACATTATGAAGTTGAATGCTGCTCTTAATAATCAAGAAGAAATTTATGACTCAACTGATGGGGCTACAGTTTTGCCAGTTTTGAAGCAATTTTCCTGCAGTCAACCTGATTGTCTTTTTGACATTACTTTTGAAATATATTTGCTTCTACACAATTTGGCAACATCAACAGTGACCACATTGGCCTAATGAGCTACTGCCCAGATTAAGCGAAAACATTGTCAATGAGCTTTGAAGAACATTATTTAATACAGGAGAGAATATATAATTGAAGCATAAGAGCAAAATGCCTCTTTATACCCCAGACATAAAAAAAAAAGTTCAGCTTTTTTGTTTAGCATTTTGTGTACAAATTATTAATTTAAAAGAAACAGTTTTTTTGGTGTATTTTACTTATCTTTTCTTCTTCTTCCTTTTGATTGTTTTTTTTTTAAACAGCAAGTCATCATACAGAGACCACAAACAAGGGATATTCCAGAAGACCAGATGGAGGATTTTATTGTTCTTGATTTTATTATCTTATGTAACTTAACTTTTAATGTTTGCAGCACCAATAATATTGAAAGTAAAATTTTATATTATTTGTCTTTTTCTCTCTTTTTTTTTTTTTTTTTTTTTGAATTAAACATTTTAGGAATTTGTTTGATATTTAGATGAATGCTGCTACCTTTATTTTTAGTGAATATTTTGCCCAATAAACAGTGGCAAAACAAGTTGTCCCCCCCCTCCCCCCCCCCCCCCCACCCCCCCCCCCCCCCCCCCCCCCCCCCCCCCCCCCCCCCCCCCCCCCCCCCCCCCACCCCCCCCCCCACCCCACATAAGTGTTAAATAAAATTGAATGTCGTCCATAATGTATCTCATTACACAGGAAACAGAGATTTACATTACTGTTCTGTACACTGAGTAATTAAATATTTGAAGTTGCTAAGTTTGTAAATTTTACTAAGGAAATAATAATTTTATTTCAGAATATATAATAGGCATCTAATATGATGTTATATATTTGCAGTCATGTATTTGTTATAACTTTTTGTAATATTTATGTTTTAAGGCACTTTAAATATTTTTATTTATGAAGTATTTATATGAGTTTATACATTTCATTGTATCCATTTCTTATTTCAAACTTTTAAACAGTTACGCTAAAAACTCTCACAGGCCATTTCTACTGTGTATACTGCCTCTTTAAAAGTCATGCCTTTATCATTTTTCATATTGGTAATTTCTCACAAAATCATCTGCTATGAAACCTTCTGAGTGGAAAACCTCTGCTTTATTTTATATTTGTAATTGTCTACATAACTGGGCACGTGGTGAGAGGGAGACAAACAAAATAAGAAATCTGATAGAGAAGAGTGACACAGGAAGACTTGTGCATCATGGTGTGGAGTAACATCTTTGTAAGAAACAAATGACAATACATTAGACAGAAAAACTGTGCACTGAAATGATTACCAACACCACATAACATTGACTGACTGACTTTTCACCCCACTGGGTCATGACAGTGACACAAAGTGACACCATTCATATGAGGATCACCCGTGGAGAGGTCCGAGAAACCCCGTTCAGCCGTTTGGTTATATTAGGGCCCCCGGCAAAAGCCAAGGTGGGGTTTCAAAATAACAAAAAATGCGTCCCACATAGGGATTACCCCACATAACATTATGTGTAACGTGTATTTATAATATTATATCTTAGAATATATTCTCTAATATTTCATACCTAGTATTGTCAACGAGCTCAAGTTGAATAGCTATAACTAATTCAAGAATAGATGTGAAAGTAATTATATCATGTTTATTTTTGATCAGGTCACTGTTTTATCCACGCAACTCGCCAAGGGTATGATCGTAAGCCACATGACGGTACCTACTACCTATCATGAATGTATTAATGTGGTTTTTCCTTTAAGACATATCATGGAAACCACACACAAAAAAAGTCAAGAAACATGGGCACAAAGACTCAGGATTTCATTTCTCATTTAGTTGTCCATATCATAACATAACTGTAGACTTGTTAGGGTCCTGAAGATATCTGAATGGGAGCACTAGCACACAAAACCTGCTATCTTTGTCTTCCGCTTGTTGAACAGTTGTATAGTAATTTAGTCCTATCCATTTCTTGTTTTCATTCCATGTACTTCTTCATCTCCCTCCCCCCCCCCCCTTTTTTTTTCTTTCTTCGACTAGCTCCTAGTGTTTCCTTGAAGCATATAGTCTTTGCCATCGAATCATGTCTCACCATGTGCCCTGACAAAACTAGCTAGTGAAGTTTCACCACTGCACTATCCATAAACATTTAAAAAAATATTGTTTAGTTATTTCGTACATAAAATTAAATTAGGAGGTCTCTTAAGTTATGACTGGGTTCCATTTTGTTTTTGGATGTCATAATTTGAAAACTGTTGCTTTCATACTGGCCTCAGAATGGATATATAGTGGTATGAAACTTATGATTATTATATATTTAAAGTTCCATGCAGGAAAACATTTTTATTAAACTGAACATTGCACATTTTAAGTTTTAGTTAATATTTGGTTATGTACATGTAAAAATCAATGACTGAATGACTGAATCAAGAATTGACATCATTGCGCTCTGCACGTCCCCACATGTGCTCATTTCCATTGCTCAGTGGTCAACAAAGAGTCAGTATGCTAATAACACCAGTTTAAGGGTCTGCCTATGTTTCCCCTTCACTGATGAATATATTCCAGAATCCCTACTCACCCCTTGCTGAATGTTTTTCAAGGTATGGATTCTCTCTTCTCTTGCACTGTCCACTTGATCCAGTGTCTGCTCTATCATAAGTAGCTCACTGCCCAGAGGAGCTTCAGCAGCTGATGTATCAGCTTGCTCAGCAGCTGATGTATCAGCTTGCTCAACACCTTGCACACCAGAATATCCTGGACAGAAAATCCATGAATTGCCTCTAATCTCAGTCTCAACGAAGCAATGCAAGCCACTCTACATGTTGGATACCGGTTTCTGTTTTCTGACGTATACTCTGTGAGTCAGGCTGGGCTGCTCTCATCCCATCAGAAAGATGGCATTACTGCCTCCACCTCCATTCTCATACTGGATGTTCTGGCACTACATGAAAGGCTGTCTGTTTTCAAACAGTGTCCTCTCACCTTTGCAATAAAATTTCACCCTCTCTCTTCACACTACAGGTCCATCTGTGTACATAATAATGTCACCTGGATGTAAATGTTTATTGATCAGTTCTTGCCCGACTGCCTCTTCATCACTGGCACCCTCGGTCTAAAATAATAATAATTATGTGCAAGCTAGTTTGCTTGGCAACACTGTGACCCATTCATGATCATGTGCTGACTTGTCAATAGCACAAACAGTTCCAGTAATGACTTCTGCCTGTGCCATCTTTTCATCTGGTGTCTCTTGCTGTCCCCTCAGGCCGCATGTAGAAATATTCCCTGTGCATTGCGACTTCAAGGTACATTTTCACCATGTACTTTTCATAATTGAACAGCATTTCTAGTATATGCCATGTACATAGAATGTCACACGCAAGCACATGCACACACACCACGCACACATACACTCACAAATGTACAAACATCATAAAGAGACAGTCATAATTTTTTGGTCATGTTATGAAAAGAAGAAAACTGGAACATGTTGTGACGACTAGAAGAAAAAACTGTGGATAAAGAGATACAGATCAACAAGAGAAAATTCTCAACAGTCGGTTGTCATGGCATAGAGGGATGTAAACACATGAACTGATACATGCTGTTGAAGATCGCAGGTTGTGGAGAGGCATGAACACTCATGCCAGGTGCAAGGCATTAGATGATGGCGATCAATTACTACCAACATGTTATGAAATACATGTATGGATGACAGTAGCAAGCTGAATATAACATTTTTTAAAATTAAATTTAATGGACTGGTGTTAAACTTTATACTCATTTAGTTGAAACTCTAACTTAGGGACCTCCTATACTTGATTTTATTTAGTAATATTACAAGACTAATACATTTTTTTTAAACAAATTAAATAAAAAACATATATAAGACAAAAAAATTTATTCTGCTTTATTCTGTGTATTAATTACTAAAGTTTAATTTGTGTTGTATGATTTGTGGCAGAGCTAACTGGGAATTTTTCAGAATTTGAAATATGGTTCAATATATTTTTGTTAGTTAGGAAACTTATATATCTAGGAAGTTTGTTCATGGAAGATTGCAGAATTGACACAGAAATACAAGTAAAAACCAGAAGTCAGCGAAGCTGGTACACTTAAATACCATTTGTCACCATTAATGAGACGACAAATAGTAAAGTAAAAGACACCTTTTCACGTCTTCAGGCTTATTGGGCATATAGGGCTAGACCTATATATTATAGACCAATCAGTGCTGGGTAGGTGATCTGGTCGCCTTAACTTCCCAGCACTTGTACCTGGTACCCACTCAAGGCTGGGTCAACCTGGGGATACATAACTATGAGTGCAAAGAAACAGATTGTGAAAAGCATATTCATTCCAGCATTGAGCTACCAGTGCCAAACATGGACATTATCTAAGGCCCATGTATGCAAAAATTACGATTTGCTAGGTGAGGTGACTGAGAAAAGCTGCCAACCTAGCCATCCCAGATGACGTGAATAACGATACTATCAGACCGATTGTTGGAACAACACTTTTTACTAGATTCATTGAGCAACAGCAGACTAGGTGGTTTTACCAACTCTGTAGAATACAGCAACATCAGAGACCATCAAAGACACTTTGTCTCAGCAACATATGTTTTTAAGACAAGCAATACACATGACAAAATATGTAAACGGACAAACTTAACAGTCAAGAAATGATAAATGTACTTCTAAAAAACAAACCGTGTGACCTGTAGTCTTGAAATGTTAATACTATAGACTGCAGTCCTGGAGGGAACAAGTAAAGAAGACAACTTTTTTTATACTAACTGAGCAAGTATATGCCGGTGTCTGTGGCGTAGGCATTGCGAACAGGCTTTTTAGTGCCAGGGTGCTGGGTTCGATCCCAGCTGCGGGCCTTGCGTTGGTTTCAACAGTGGTATCGAGAAGCTGACTGTTCAGAATGCAATGGCAAACTACTGGACGTAAATTTGCCTAGAAAAACCAGAAAAAACAAAAATTTTCTAGGGTTGGTTCTGCAATGTCCTGTTAAGTATACCTAACTAACTCACTAACTAACTAACTAACTAACTAACTAACTAACTAACTAACTAACTAACTAACTAACTAACTAACTAACTAACTAACTAACTAACTAACTCACTCACTCACTCACTCACTCACTAACTAACTCACTAACTCACTAACTAACTCACTAACTAACTCACTCACTAACTCACTAACTAACTCACTAACTCACTGACTGACTGACTGACTGACTGACTGACTCACTGACTGACTGAATGACTGGCTGACTGACTGATTGACTCACTCACTCACTCACTCACTCACTAACTCACTAACTCACTCACTAACTCACTA